AATGCCGGGCGTTTCTACGTCCATGTGCATCACGAACGCCCAGTGGCGGACGCCCAACCCCATGCCAAGCTCAGGGGCGGTGGTGAAGTACACCGGGGCCCTCGCCGAGCACGCAAGCAACCAAGCAGCCTGGAGATCCGGCAAGGAGCGGGTCGAGAAGTGTTGCATGGTCAGCGCTGAGGGCGGCCAGGCTGGCAAGCATTGAGCCGGATGCGGGTGCGAGCATACAGGTGATGCTCCAAGCGAGGAAGGACAACACGATCCGGCTGCTGTGTTGCTCCTTTACTGCGCCTCTGCCCACGCCCACTACGTCCTACATCGTCCTACGCGTCCTGCCTCCTGAGCAAACGCGGGCCTTTGCGGCTGAGCACGAGCTTGGCGAACCTCCAACAGTTTGAGCGGCCCGACCTCTTGCTCGAGACCGCCAGCAACCCAGCCGCGTTTTGGGCATCAGTTTGCCACCCTCCTGCCTCAGCTCAGGTCCCCCCAGCCCAACTCCGCTTCAGCGCGCGCTCTGCGCGATGCTCGCCAACGGCTCCTTGATCTTGGGTTCGGCCCGCCGCCGTGGGCTAGCATTACAGGGAGGGCCCTGTCCGTGTTTGGAAGCCCGGACCAGGGGGTGGCAACGTGCCGCCTCCCGCGCTGTCGGCGACACGCGCCGGCTCGCGCCTCGTGTGCCCAGTTTTTTGGCCCCTTCGCTTCCCGTTTCTTCCTTGCTCCCGGACTTTCGCGCGCTCCTCCTCCGGCGCCTGCGGCTCCCTGGGTCTGCCTCGTGTTCGTGCGGGAGAGCTCTAGACGAGCTCGGTGACCATCGCTCTGCCACACGCTCCTTCGAGACTTGAACGTGCATGTCGATGGCCTTGGCATCGACGTTATCGCCAACAGCCTTCCTCTCTGGGGGGGGCGTGCAGCTTGCGGTTGACACGACCTTCGTCTCGGCCCTGGACTCAGCCGGCTCCGTCTTGCTCGGCGAGCCAAGGAGAGGACCTACCGTGAGATCCTTTCAATTCATCGCTGCTTGAAGTTGGTGGCCGCTGGAGCGCTGAGGCCGCGCAGTTTGTCAGCTTGCTTGCCGGGCCCGCGCCCGCTCTGTGCCAGATGACATGCAAGCCTCTTGTGCCGCAGCACACCGCGCCCGGTGGTCGGCCCTCATTTCTTTTGCCGCCGCGCGGGCGTATGCCACAGCCTTTTTGCCCTGCCCGGAGCCGGCGCGCTGCCCTGACGCTGACGGGACCAGCAACAGCACTGCATGTGGAGAACCTGGCCTCCACAGCAACAGCCTAAGTTCTCCAGTGCCCGGCGCCAGATGGGTTTCTGGCAGGTGAGCCGGCTCAAGGCTCTTGTTTGTGTTGGCTGGGTCTGTGTGGTTCTGTGTTTTCCTCTCCCCTGGTTCTTGCTGTTTTGGGCTGCGCGGCGGGCGCCACGGTCGTGCATAGCTGGGAGGCGGGCCCAGTATAAATAGACCGTCCCTGGATGCTGTCCAGGTAAAAAAACAGCATTGCTTGAATAAGACCTCCCCGGAGGCCAGGCAAAAAAAAAACGAAGAAAAAACAACAACAAACAAAAACCATAAACAAACTGAGAGCACAGCTGGGGGGTCCACCGTTCCTGTGCGCTCACCTTCCCCCGTGCCCGTACGGTGCCTGCTGCCCAGCACCTAGTGGAGAAGTCACCCCGGGGCCACCAGCCGATCCACCGGGGGACAATTGCCCGGCGTGCCTGGAACCCATCCTTCCCCACGGCGTGGGCGAAGACAGCGCGTGCTTTGGCCTGGCTGCCGTCATGTCTACCATGCATGCAGCGTGTGTTGCTCAAATGCGCGCCCAATATGACCCACGTCTCCTGTGCATTGTGTCGTTTGCCGCGGCAACCCGGTTGGGATCCTGAGTTTGTTCAGTGGTATTCTGGCCTTCTGTGCCTTCGGACGCGCCCCTCGCTGCCCAGCCGGCGGCAAGTGGGTGGTTCGTCGCCGCCTCTGGTCCTCCTGGTGCCGCCTGGTCGTCCTTGGGGTCGAGGTTGGTGGCCGATAGAGCTCCGAAACTGCCGACTTCTTGCGGCAGCTTGCCCGGGCCAAGGCCAAAGACACCCCTGCGACCTTGCGTCTTGCCTACCAGGCCGCCCTGGTCCACCGCTGGTCTGGCTTCTTGCAGGCTTTGCTGCCAGCTTGTCTGCCTTGCCTTCCGCTGGCTTGTCTTGCCTGGACGCCCCTGCGCCCGCTTTCAGTGACGTGCTTGCCGACCGCGCGGCCGCGTTCTTGAGGTGCTCGCCAGCCGGCTTTCCGCGCACGCCTAGCCTAGGGGAGGCCTTGACGTGATTAATTACCCCTGGTGCCCGGGGGCCCCGGGTTTTTGAGGGGGACCGACTGGTGCAGCTGTAAAAAGGCGTGCCAAAAAAACATCTGCTGCTGCATCTCGCTGACTGCTCCTGACTTTTCCCGAGCAAGAGCACCTGGAAAGCCGGGTCTGACTGGGCAAGGGCCTCGCATTGAAGTATCAGCGGCTGGGGACTGCCACCCGCGGAGGTCGGGGCCAGCGTTGTCCAAAGCGTGCGGAGAAGGTGGGGGCGCAAACGCTATAACAAGAAAAACTTCGGGCCGGCGCTGGGTTGGGCGCCTGCAGCAAACGCAAGACGGCAGCCGCCACGTCGGGCAATTGGCTGTGTAGGACTGGCAGCACATCAGCCCAGGAACCCGGCCAGCGTCCGGGCACAGCCGGCTGCACTCCGGCGCTTTGGAGTACCGGAAGACAGCAAGGACGTCGCTGACATTCGGCACGGGCCCGTCAAGAAGCGCGCGCCGGCGCCGGGCAAGGCAAGAAGGCTGTTGGCATATGCGCGGCGGCAATAGAAATGAGGGCCGACCACCACGCGCGACACGCCGCGGCACAAGAGGCGCTTGCAAGTCATCTGGCACGAGCGGGCGCGGGCCCGGGCAAGCAAGCAGACAAACTGCGCGGCCTCCGCGCTCCAGCGGCCACCGTCTTCAAGTCCGACAACGACATCGGCGTGGCGCTGGCAAACCCGCGCTTGGCCGGCAAAGCCCAGGGCCGAGACGAGGGTCGTGTCAACCGCGAGCTGCACGCCAAGTACAGGCGCGCCACGGTGAGGAGATTGGATGGAGGGCACACACGTACCAAGGGTATCCGCGAGCTCGACGGTGGATGTAGTCTTCGTCGCGGGCACTCTCAAGTCGACGCAGCTCGCAGCCAGCGAGGCACCGCTCTTGCTGCCCGTCGCAACTCGGGCTCAGAACGGACTTCCATGCTAGGACGTGCTACAGCGTGACGCTCGGGACCTTGCTCAAGCTCATCAAGCCATTTTGGCTCAACAATTTGGCTCAGGAAGCTCTGGCGTAAAAAGGGCGAAAGCAGGAAAGTAGCCACGCCAACCATCGCGAACCATCCGGCCACAGGGGTTCGTCGGCCATGGGAGATCCGCCAAGTGTGGCCCATGAGACGTAAAGGTCATCAAGGAAGGCCGACACGCGTTCGCGATCGACAGCGGTCGAAGGCGCATAGGGCGGTGGAGCCCCAAAGCGAAGAGCGCCGGCATCAGGGGGTCGCATCGGGGTCTGGTGCTGGGGGGTGGGGTTGGGCCCCTGCCATGAAAAACGAAAGCGGCGGCGTCGTGAAAAAAATGGGAAGGTCAACCTCCATTACTGTCAGCATCATTTCTGTTATAGTGCGTGGCTCCCGTACAAGGTAACTTTCAGTGAGATACGACATAAACCCCTATACCCGTCTGAGGTGGGGCGACGCGTGAAGGTCTGCTTTGACGTCCCCGGCAAGCCCCTCCGGCACTTTGCGCCAGCCAATCCAGATTGAGAATTTCTAATTTTAGAAAATGGGGGGGGCAACCTAGAACCCTTCCTAACCAGACCCATTTCTTTTATTCACAATTTAGAAAATGAGGAGTGCCAACCCCATCATGGAAGGTGACATCCTTAGAAAAAACACGCCCAAAATGGGCTCACGGGCAAACCCTGACGACTATGCCTCTGACGCCCCCATTTGGTTTTTGCAGGGAACCTGGCCGGCCGAGACCGAGAGAGGCAGCACTGGCGGGGGGCAGCTGCGAAAGCAAGCAAAGCGGCGACCGCCTGGAGGGTATCTGTGGACGCGGGGTCGTCCACAAGCGGACGATCTCGGCGGTGTGCCCGCTGGGGCCGGGTGCAGCACCGCGGCGGGCCCGGTTGGAGCGGAGCAGAGAGCGGGAAAGGGTGACAGGGGCCTCCAGGGTCCAGGCCAGCAATGCCGGGTCGAGGGGCTCATAAGGCTGGGCCGGCCGCCAAACCGGATCAGTGAGATGCGGCGGACAGCTCGCCAAGGTGGACAAGTCGAGTGGCCCTTCCCGCTCGGCGTGGCGCTTCACCAGCAGGGTCGCTGGCGGCGTTGGCGCGGGCGCGCGGGGTTCCGAGGGGATGGCTTGGCGAAAAAGCTCCGCCCACTCGCCACGAAGGGAAGCCGACAACCGGGCCGCGAACACCTCCTTGGGGACACGGGGAGCGTCAGCGGGCCTATGAAGGAGCATGCGTGGCAGGAAAAACCAAAGCTTCCACGCGCGCTCCGCCTCGGCACCGTCTGGGGAGGCAGACTTATTGGCTTTGGGGGCGTGGGGGGTGGGGTTCACTAAGCATACACCATTACACAAAACAAATCGTAAACTAAACAAACACATTTTATTATCTGTTATTCATTTTTGCTGCAATTCAATCCAGGTCCGCCCTCCCCTTGGAACAAATCCAAGAAAGCCACTTTGTAGGGTGGTTTGGCTCACGTTTCCCAAGCGCAGCGGGTGGGCACGTACGGGGAGGACCTGTCATGACATGTCCAGAACAGGCTGGGAAAAAGGCAGCGTTTGTACTTTTTTGCAAACGGCGCCAGCTTGCGGTCCGCCGTTGATTTTTGCATGGCTGTACTAAATTCGATGGGGTGCGTGCCGCAGCATGTGCGCCTCCAAGCCAGGGTAGTTGTTGGTAGCTTCAAGGGCGCGCATGGACGCGCATGAATGCCAACGAGCCGTGTGATTCTGCGGCTTCCGTGCAGCTCGGGCCTCGGAAGCAGGAGGCTGTGGGTGTGCTAAGCAGCAGTTGCCACGCAATCAGGTTTGCCAGCCCATGGTTGGAGGCAGGCGCACCTGAGGTGGGGCCACAGTTGCATCGCCAGAGGCTGTTGTACTGGCTGAATCTGGCTGAGCGCAGCGCTGCAACAAGTGGACCTCATTGGTACCCGCATGTACCCGCATTTCCTCTTCATGAGATCGGCCAGGTGGGTCAGCGTGTGGTCTACTGCAGTGACTGCACGCTCACCGGCACCGTCCGCTTTGTGGGGCCCACCAACTTCTCCGAAGGAGAATGGATTGGAATTGTCCTCGACAAGCCTGCTGCTTGCCTAGATGTAGCGGTTACTTGCTTTCTGTTTTGTTTGCCTTTCAGCCTTGCCAGGCAAAGAGCTGCAAAGGTTTAAGTCGGGGTTTGCCCTTCCCTTGGGTTGGGCCATTCAGCAAAAGCAGGCAAGCCGGCGGATCCCGGTGTCGTCAGGTTGGCAAGAATGATGGGAAGGCGACGTGGCTTGCACGTGTCATCTACAGATTTGGTGGGCGGACCGGAGTTGCCTTTCTTGCAGCATGCATGGCCCATTTTGCTTGCCATTGTCGCCGAGTTCGCGGCAGCGCAATTTATCGCGCGCAATGTTATTTTGGTGGTGTTCCAACCGGAGAGTGCACAGCATCGTGGTTGGTGAGGTCAAGGGCAAGCAGTACTTCGACTGCCCTCCGAACCATGGCTTGTTCATGAGGGCCAAGGCCGGAGCCGGCTGACGCTGATGCTTTTCAACCCGCCCAGGGAACAGTTTGAGTCGGGTTTTCAATTGCTTCTTGGGTTTGGCTTGATACCAGCGCTCAGGTGCTGGTGCCAGAAGAGCTGGCAGCTGCGGATGTGGCAGAGTGGCTTGGCACTTGATATGCGGCAGCAATGCAATACATATATGTAACATATTACATATGTATCTGCACATATGCATCTATTCAACGGACAAGCAAGCGCAGAATGCGCATGTCATTGTAAGGTGACGAAGCATGAAGAAGCAACAAAAACAACGCAGTAATCAAAGCTTGGAGCCAATTCCACGCACGGACTGGGGAATTGCGCCGGAAACGAGAACCTAAGCTGTTGCCTTGGGATCTTGGAAGGCGCTCATGCAAGCCTTCCCCTGATCTTACTTGCCACTGGGACTAGGCTGCGAATTTTGCTTCGTCAAATGGGTTGGGCGGGGTGGGTGAGCAGGGAATGAGAAATGGCATGACTCCGAAAGCATCCAACTGGTGGTTTCCTTTAAGGGACGTTCCCCAATGTTGACCCAGGATTAATAAACAGGTCCCATTATTAGGGGGGGTGTTCCCGCCACAAGTGATGAATCCCCACTAACAGGGGACACCCCCCCATTAATTCACCAGGGGTTCTGCTTAATCCGGGGTTAACATTGTCAGCATGTCAAAGGAGTTGGGGGTGAGAGAACCGCAGGCCGGCGCTGGCTTCGCCGGCCTCGGAGCCGCGAAGTGGCCGGCGTGGCCGGGCGCGGACGGACCGAGGAGGGGATGCGAGGGGATGGGAGGGGTGAGCCGGGTGCGGTTTCGCCCACCCAGAGGTCAAAGGGTTTTGGAAACAAACTGGCAAAATGTATCATGATTCATCATGAATCATGCATGTCTTCAGTTAAAGAAAATAGAAAGCCACCAGGACAACCACCATTTTGGGAAAGTCCCCCAAAGAGGTTCACCCCTCATGAGAACCTTCAGACTCGCCAGGATTCGAGTCTCAAGACTCCACCCCGAAGTCCGGCACGGCACGCACCCGGCGGGCCATCCAGCCGCTTGGCCCAATTCAAGCGCCTCGAAGCTGAGTCTTCAGAAGGTCCCCTTGGGCTCAATCCCGTTCCTGTACTTTCAACTTGTTGGTCCCAGCCTCTCAGGCGAGACTTGAGCCCTTCCCATGGCCGAATTGCAGAGCCTCGACATGAGTTGTCCGAGTTATGGGGGTTGAGGGGCATCGAAGGGAGAGTTCTTGCAACAGTTTGGATGTCCCCACTGTGGATTCCGGCAAATGTTGCACTCGTTTAGCACTTCTGGCATGGGCTAAGGTCCATTCTCATTCTTGTACAGGGAGCCATGACCATAGGAGCCACCATAATATAAGGAGTTTTTAGCCTGGCTCACACACACACACGTGCATATATATATATAATTACACATATCTATATAAAGGGTATACATATATATATATATATATGTATATATATATATATATATGTAGACGCACTTGGCGGATGCGGCAAGGTCGGCAGCATCGCAGGAGATCCAGGGCGGTGGTTCTTCGGTCGGATCAACTGCAGGAGGTCTAAAGACTCTACTTAATCAGGGTTCCCTTAAAACAAGGCTAAACAACTAAGGGACTTTCCCAAAATTGTGATTTTCCTTGTGGTTTTATCACAAAGGGTACCCCACAAAACGGACACCCATATTTTGTTTGGGTGATCTTTCAAAGGGGACATGGAAACAACCCTGTGCGTTTCCTGCTATGGTTTGGAGCCCGTTCCAAAGGTTTGACATGGGGGGTGGTGAGAGTTTCCGAGCCAAAACTTGGCCAAGTTGCTTGAGGTTTTGTGTTTTGAGTGAAACACGTGTTTTTGAGGTCTTTTTGTTGCCCACATTCCAACAAGTGTTTTCAGAAATTGGCCCCAAGTCGCCAAACACTTCCTTGCCTTGCACAACAGATGGAAAAACATGTCCAAGCAAACATGGGCACGTCGGGGAGAAAGGGAGGTGCTCAGCGCAAAGCCCTGAGCCAGATTTTGCACGGATTCCTTCCCTCGTCTTTGTTTGCCAGATTGTCGGAGCATACCCCTGATAGAACTCCTTGCGACTGCTCCCCACCACTTATATATAGTGTCAACTTCCGAGCTTTGGAGCTGGGCTTTGCAATCATCAGGAAAGCAAGCCATCCCACCCATGATGGGCCTCTGACTCGGAGATTTGAGGAATCTCCGGGTGAAAGATGTGTAAAGAATACATGTCATTTCCTCCACGCATGGCTGGTCACTCGCATGGCGCTTGCCGCATTTGAGAAGTGGAACGCTGCTGAGTTGGCGGGCTGGCGTTTTGCATTTTCAAGGTCACCTCAGATGGGTTTGTCTCCACGAGGGGAGGGGGCTCAAAAGGTGTGGTTTGCACTAGTTATCGAATAGGAACCCAAACTGGTTTCCTCTTGTGCGTTCTTGTATGTTCTTGTGCTCCCTGGACGACATCGACATCCCCCAACAGCGTACTTTCAAGAATCCAAGACATGCCCAACTTGCTTGGAGAACGCTCCACCGAACGAGGAGCGGCTTTCCATCCAGGTCCCCGAGCAACAAGAGGCCATTGGCTTGCCGGTTTTCCGGTTGCCTGCGCATTTCCCCTCCGACCAGGGCAGCGCGCAGACCGCTCGTGGAAGACGAGGTTTTCTCCCTGACCCCGTGGTTAAAGCTCGAAGAGTCTCTGGTTAAAAGTGGGCACTCCTTGGTATCACTTGCATTCCCCTCCGACCAGACCTGGCTGCTGGAGCTGTTTCTCCTTGCCAGCGGGCGGGTTAGACAGGGAGGAAATCGTGGGTTTGTGGATCGCATTGTTGAGGAACAGTGTTTATGGTCCCTGAGAAGTGTAGATTTCCACGAGGGATCAATGTGAAGGCGTCTTTTTGTAGAGTACCCCCAAAATGCTGGTTTTGTTTTGGTTTCCCAATAAAGCCCAACCAAAAGCGGGTCCCCAAAAAGGCCCGGGCAAAATGATTTCCCCCCCCCCCCGCACCAAACCCAAAGAATCAGAGAGTTCTTTTGGACTCCTTTTGCAATTCTAGAATCCTGTTGGATTCCTTGGATACTCATTCCCGATTCAAAAGCAGTCTGCCCGCGTTGTTTCAAGGCAATCTTTTTCTCCTTCTGGACCTTGCGGGGGGGGGGGGGCCTTATTCATTTTATTCATTTTTAAGAATTCATTTTGACATATTTTGACCACATTAACGGAAGTTGCCGGAGCTATATTCGTCTTCCCCCCCTTTCCGTTCCACTGGCTTCCCCGCAGCGGGGGATCGGACCGGATCGGATGGCCAGGTGCTCCGCACCGCGCAGCCGCCCGTGGAGGAGCTGCGCAAGGCAGGGGCCAGAGATGGCCAGAGATGGCCAGAGGGTGGCATGGGTCAAGATGTGCCGAAGAGAGGGCCCAGTGGCGGGGGAAGTGTGGCGCCTTTGCTTTTTCTTTTCTTTTTTTGGGGGGGGGAAGGGTGCAGTTGCCCAGTGGCGCCCCTTTTTTTTGTTACTCGTTTTGGAAGGGGTTCTCCTTGAAACTCGACCAACCAGACAATTGGATGCCCGTTGTTTTTTCTTTTCCCATGGCCACTGGGCATCTGAGAGGGGGTTGTTTTCAAAGACCTTTCGAGGAAGCCTATGCCGCAAAATTGAAGAGCTAGGGTGATATACAGGTTTTAGCCATTGGTTCCATTTGCCAAGGTGCAATCTCGGCACATTTTGTTTGAGCCACAGCCATATTTTGAGCCAAACTGATTCGGCCCAGGAGCTGCGGACTGCAGCGGAGGAGAGAGATTTGGAGGCGCTGCGGCGGCTGTTGCCCTTTGCGACCCTCCAGGGTGTCGCAGAGGCCAGGGATTTCGCGCAGGTTGGGTTGGGCTAGGAGAGCTACATGTTTTCTGCCTTGTTTGTGGTAAAGGTGTAGCTCCACCAATTGGACAGCAGGAAGGTAAGGTGAATCGGTGAATTGTGCGTGTATTCTTGTGGCAGTGAGGGTGTTGTTTGTGTTTTTGTTTGTTTGGAGAGGGGCGCCCTTCATTGGGAGTGTTGATGGGGCCAACTCTGGATAAGGTTTCTTGCTAAGCCTTGTGCGCGCTGGAGTCGCATTGGCCGGCAGAATGTGGGCATCTTAAATCGGAAAGGGTTTTGGCAGGCCTCTTTGACGAGTGAGCACGGTTTGGGTATTCGAGAAAATTAGAGGTTTCTTGTCGCACCCGGGAAATGGAGAAAGAGGCCGCGGATACAAATGCTCATGAATAGTGAAACTGAAGGAAGATCTTGACTAACAAGAACGGGCAGTCAATGGACGGATCTCAATTTTACCATGCCATCCCATCAGTCAGCCCTCGTTGCTGATTGACTTTTTTGGTCAGCGGCATGCTGACCGCTTGGCCCTTTGACCGCACCATCTGCCGCTTCATGACCCTTACCCAGCCAGGCCGAAGTGGCAAGTGCCAGACACATCCTCGATTTCGAGGCGAGGAATCTGTCTCTTGAAGGAGTGGCTTGCAAAAGAGGGGTCAAGGTTTGCTTCTGTTACCTTGAGGCAACTTCGAAGGAAGCTTGCGTTTTGCAACATCTAGCGAATTATTTTGGAAACCGTACATTCAGATGTGCGCTTAGGTGTCCTAGTTCTAGGGAAACAATTTATTTGCGGGAAAGGCTGAGCTTCTGCTTGCCTTTGAAGCCATTTGCCTTTAACGTATCTTCCAAACCCTTTGGAGGCTGCTCCGAAAGACCCCCATTAAAGCAAGAGACGGCGACAAAATGACATAGGTTGACAATTCATAGGCCACGTGCCGGCCATGGCAGACATGCGTTGGGAAATGTTCACAAGCAATGTGTCGTTGCAGTGCCGTCAGCTGCTGTGAGGTTGTGCCGGGACATGTTGCCAGGTGATGTGTCACAGTGCATCGACAGCAACACATCAGGGTAGAATGTGGCTAGCAACCTAAAAGACCCTCGGAATTTCGAGTCGACGTTCGATTTATTCGCCTGCAAGTAGTGCACACCTCTTGAGGTCCTGTTTTCTTTCAAGTTTCAAGTGCAAGGCCCAAACCTGAAGGTCGGTATTAGCCAGGCCACACTTCAAACCATCTCCGGCCCCAAGCTGCCAGCTGCCAAGACAGGTGCAAGCGGCTCTTTTCCAGCAGCTAGAGTTGGTGCACAACAGCTTGCAGGCGTGCGGTTGGTTTTGCATTGCTGGCTGCCCTCTTCCTTATGCCAGGCGTGCAATAGCATCCCGGGGCCCATTTGTGACCACAACCCGTTGGGGAGGTTCTCAAAATGCCAGATCTTCTTGTGGTTGGCATGCAAAGGGAACCCAAAAGGAGAACCACCATTGGGGGTCCCCTGACGCACACCCATTCAAGGCCCTCTTGCTGCCGAGCGTACAGGACATCTCACAGAACATCCTGTCGCCAAGTGCATCGCCAGCGAGCGCAAGGCGCATCGACGGCAACCCAACCATTTTGAGGGGTCCCCTGTTTGAGACAAACCCCTATGTTCCACATTCTGCTACATGCCTGGCGGCCCCTCTGATAAACTTTGTCTGTTTGGGTATAATCACCAGGCTGGGAGGTCTGGTGGTGCACCACCCATCAGTCCTTTGGAGGGCTGCTGGCAAGGAATTGAGAGTAAGCACCGCCTCGTCTGTTCCACATGGATCTTTGTTCTGCCTCGCTTTTTCAGGCCAAGCGAAGCGCACGGACCCCAGCCGGCGAGACGTTCAGTTCCAATGCGGAACAAGTCAAGGCTCCACACATGCCGGGGTAGGAAACCGACTGGCCTTCTGGAGGCTTCAGTTCGATGACAAATTTCAGGTACACCTTGAGTTGTTTCAGAATTGCATGTGTGAACGGTTGCCCGCCTCAATTCCCTCTATCAACCGTGTTTTAGGTGATGGAACGATGCAGGATGACGCGCGACGAAGCATGAACTCAGACTTTCCAACCTTCCTGCCCCGTGATTCAGGTTGACTCTGAATCCGTCTGCGTCGTTTGCGTTTCTCAACACCTGGGGATCATTTAGCCTACTTGCTGGGCCAAGGCTTGGCAAAGCCCAACTTGGGCCAGTGCCAGAAGGAACCCATGAGGATCTAAACTGCGTTCCCATGGTTTTTTCATTTGAATTAGTTGCAAGTCGCAACTGTTCACACTTTGATTTGTCAGTTTGAGAATTTCGTCCTTGGTTCCAACCGTCTTTCTGCCTGCCTGCCTTGCAAAATTCGGCCCTCGCCTCTCGCAGGCCCTCGGAAGAACTGAGCGCCATGGTCACGGCGGCGGTGTGCGCGCCCCAGCGAAAGCCAGCGGGCGAGCAGGAACAGCCCCCCCCCCACCCCTCTAGAAATCACTAAGCTTCTATGAATCTTACACGTCCTTCCTAAGGTTTCCTCTACTTGAAGGGGCATGGTACTTCGGAAGTGGGTAGCAAGCAATGGTTCTCACCCACTTGCCATGGTTGTAAGTCTCCGGAGTGGGTTGTGACCAGGCTTACTAACCACTTGCCCCTTTAAGTACACTTTAGGCCGCTACTGGCGGAAAGCCACCACTTGCTCGCCGAATGCATGGGCGGGGTGCGCATCGGCTGAGGAGAGAAGCCACGGCGGAGGTTTTAGCAGAGCTGGCCACTTTGCGCAGGCCTCAGCCAGCCACCTGGGTGTCACCTGGGCGGCTCGTGTTTGTTTGGATTTGTGTCGGGAAGTTGTGTGGTTCGAATGGCTTGAAGAATCTCAGGACTTTCCGAAGTCTTCGTTGCAATGATAAAACCATATACGTAGAAGGCGGCTCAGGCAAGCGAGCAGCGAGTGCATGGCTTTTGGGCCGCCATCGGTCGCCCATGGACCTGGGGTTGGTGCCGCGGTGAATTTTCAGTTTTGTGCGACTTGCTACCCTTCCTCTCCCAATAACATGGCACCTGACGGGGGATCCCTTCAATTGTATTTTTTCTCTTTGGTACTAGTACCCTCCACGTGCCATGTTGCTGGAATGAAGGATGAGTAGGACTGCGAGCTGTCACGGTTTGTTTCTTTGTTTCCTGCTCAGCCAGCCGGGTTTGTGGATGGTTTACTCCCCTACTGAAATGGAATAGGAGTTCTGCGTAGTGATCTCGCGCTCTCGAGGCGCTCGCAGCTGCATTCAGCTGGGCCTCCTGTGCAGGCCTGACCTGAAGACGTTTGAAGGCAAACGCGCAACCTGGAAGCCAGAAGCAGTCGGTTTCACGTTTCACAGGACGACATGCACACACACACAACACAAAATGCAGATATCTGTGTATATGTGTAAATTGGAAGTTCGTGCATGAATAAAGTGGGGCTTCTTGAGCGTATCTTGAGCTACCAGCATGTGATTGGTTTTGGCCCTCTGGGGTTGCAACTGGAATCCTGGCGTGGTGTGGTTTCCTGGCCTGAAGGGCCTACAATGTGTCACCATGGGGCGCTCAAGGCGTGCTGCCTCGCATGGCGCCTGAGGCGGCCATCAGCGACGTTCCCTGCGCTGACGAGGACGGATTTGGCGTGGATGTCGCCTCAATGGACAGCGCCTTGGCAGCCAAGGGATGCCCGGTCGACATCCTGGCAGGTCTGCAAAAGGGACATCCCAGAATCTGTTCACGACTGTGGATGGACTAAATGCGAGGACTGCTTGGTGGAACCGCTGGATGAAAATGGCTGCTGTGCGCCAGGCTCTATTCGCCACTGTCACTTGGTAGGTGGCTCATAGATTCCAGGCTTCATATTTCAACTAGATGACCCCTATAAACCCATCCCCTATGGTTTCCTGTAACAAAGAACCACTCGGTTCATTCCCCACACCTGGGTCCTTTCCTACCCATCGCAGCGCGGCCGTCGCTTGAGCCGAGGGCCCGGCCCGCCACTCGCCACCCAAAGACCCAGCCCGCCACTGGGCCGCAAGTTCAGACGGCCTGAGGTGACCTGGTCGCTTGGCCTGGGATGCATGTGACGGATCTTCAAGGTGTTGGTACCATGGGTGTCCTTTTAAGGCTTGTTGGGTTGGACGTTTATAGATTGTTTTCAGGTTATTTTCCAGTGCCATTGATTTTTCCAGAAGGTCACCTATGTGCACGTGCATTTTCTGTTATTTTCGCTCACTGCGCCGCCTGCCACTTTCTCTGAGGCCAGAGCCGCGGCTTGAGGAGGAGGGAGAGAAGAGGAGCAAGAGAACTAGTGCCTCGGCAAATTGTGGCTTCAAAGCGGTAGCTAAAGCTGCAACTGTCACCAGAGTCACTTATTTGGGGCCTTGCCATGCTTCCTTTGGCCCACCTTTGGCCCGCCTTTGGCCCACCTTTGGCCCGCCAGTTGCCGATCCCCCGAAGCAATGCGGTTTAGGACAGAAGACGAGAGTGGATGAGGACAGACAACCTGGATGCTTCGAGGTTTTTGCAAGCTGTCGGCCGAAAGAAGGCCGTGCCAATAAGCCCACTTTGCACAGGGAGGCCAAGCGATCCTTGGTGGCTCCCAGCCATCCCCTTAACCTTTTAGCTTTTTAGCTGTGTTTAGTGATAGTTTCCATTTAACCCACTAAAAGTTAGTCACTTCTAGCGGGGGATCTGAGGGCAGCCCAGGATCTTGATCTAACCGCGCGCAGATTTTTCTGGGTTTCGGGCCCGCAGGAGCCGGAGAAGTCGGAGAAAGCAGAGCCGGCTGATGCGGAGGCCGGACATAGCCGAACCATTTTGCAACTCAAAGCCCTTTGGGGGCTTTCTTCATTTGCCACGTCCTAAAGCCAGCCCCCCCCCCCCTCACAAAAAAGAAAGCGTTAACAACTAGTTTCTTGCAGGGGCCAAGTCTGGCCAGGGTAGATCTTTCAATTCGCATGTTCTCTTTCGAAGAAGTAGATGTTCCTGCACTGCACTCACCACCCAATGAGCCACTCGTCAAATCATATCATATTCGCAAGTTCCCCTCGGCGTGGCGCGGTTTTTGCACTGTCGAAGGTGTCGGTTACCCTGGATCCGGAAGTGGACTCCGAGCAGCCATGGGCTCGGAAAGCCGGAAGACAACTGGACGTGTGTGGGGGGTTGGTCGGCTCAACACATTTTTGTGGGCTGGGGGGATGTGGAGCCAGGGATTGGGAGGAGTGATATCTGATTCGTGATGAGCAAGGCAGCCAAGAAGGATGTTTGAACCCGGCGAGCCTCATGGGATGCACTTCGGGCGCCAGGGGCTACGGTTGAACGCATTTTCGTGTTCGGAGTTCGTGGCGCGGAAAGCAAGCTCTCATGATAGCTCACTTTGCAAAGGTGAACGGTTCCAAGAATTCTTTTCATTGCGCTTGTAACCATATTTGGCCGAAGCGTCCTTTCACAAAAGTATTTTTTGGCGAGCGCCTGGTACCGTGCAGTTTCCACCACGAATACTGGCCCTTTGCCGAGAAGAGGCCGCTGCCCAGGAGTCTTGGCAAGTGGAACCGGGCGGTGAGCGTGCACCACATTGCCACTACCCTGCAGGAGGCGACACGGCGAATTGAGAGGGGCGAATCGAGTGAACTCCTGGACCAGCCGTTCCATGGGTCTTGAAGACGACGTTTGTTTGGAAGGTGACCCAAGCCCAAAAAACCTTGATCAGGCGCTTTCCCACCATCTCCCCTTGAAGGTCCAAGACATGTAAGGGAACACCACAGTTTTCGACCCGTTGAAAGATATGCTTGTAATTGTTCGAGGGCACCCATTTTTTGCGGTTGCACAGAGAAACCAAGAGCAAAACAGGGGCACACCCATTTTCTCACTTCCCGATTGGACTTTAGTCACTTCTCAGGGTTAGACCATGTATTTTAGTGGTAAATAAATCGGTTTAGTCACTTTTTTTGGCCAACCCGCTCAAATCAGAAGCTTGAATGGGTGTGTGTGTCAGGGGACGCCCAGAATGGGTTCTCCTTCTGGCTTCCCTTTAAATTCCCGAAACTAGTCACTTTTCATGGTTAAACCATTTATTTTAGTGGTGCATAAATCAGTTTGGTTACTTTTTGCTGGCCAACCCGCTCAGATCAGAGTGGCAAATCGAAAGTTTGGTCACTTTTTTGGGCCAACCCACTCAAATCGGAAGTGGGATTTTGGACGAACCCAAATGGAGGGCTGGTGACCTGGCCAGGAGATGGCAGCTGCGGAGCTGCAGCCCGAGGCCAAGGTCTACGAGTGCTGGCCTTAGATGTGCAAGCGCATGCATGTCTGTATAACGTATGTATGTAGCGCACACACGCACACACACACACACATATATATATATATATATGTATGCATATTATATCATCATACAATATGTATGCATCACAATTCAATCATATATATATATATATATTTATACACGCATTTATACATATTAACATACTGACATATACTGACGTATATGTAAGTCGTTATTTTTGTTTACCTGCTATTGTGTTTATTCAATGATCTGCATCCATCCTTGCCAAGGCTCTCGCTTGAGCGAACGAAGGCTCACGGGGTGTAGAAGGGGTTTGCGAGGCTACCTGCCATTGTCTTTTGGTGCTCGTTTGAGCCACTTGTTGCCCCGAGTGCTTGATTGACCAAGCTGAGCCAAGATTACGGACCACAGGCGTTCCGCGCGCGTTGCAAAGTTAATTGAATGGATCATTTACGCTTTTCTGCACACATACATACATACATATATAATAGGTATATGGGGAGAGAAAGATGGAGAGAGCGGGGGGGGGGGGCATGGGGCCTGCATTTTTGCAGTCATTCTCCAACAAGTATACATATATATATATAGATACATATTTCATTGCACGAGATACATGTACACACACATATGCACACACACATATATATATATATACATAGATATGTATACATATATATATATATGCATATCTACATATACGCAAGAGGTCGGAAAGTTGGCGGGGAAGTATGCCAAGGATCGAGCCAGACGTCATCCGCAAGAAGGGCGAGCAGGTGGTTTGCCCCAGGGACGGCAGGCGGTGGAATGGCCATCTTCGCCATGGTCAATATCACGTTTGCACACCGAAGAGAGGGGGGGCGGGGGGGGGGGGGGTGGGCTGGTGTGGGGTGGTCGAGTTTCAAGAAACCGTCAAGAAACAAAGCTCTTGAATGTTTTGGATCCAAGCAAAAGCGTCAGAGCTCTTTGGTTATCCCAAGCTTCCGTGCACGCAGGCGAGTTGATCGGCGGGAACGATGGATTGTTGCTGGCTCAAGGTCCGGTTGAGCTGCGAACAGGCTACCGGTCTCTTGAGCCTAGGCGCGCCAACAAAGCGAGGGACGGAGGCAGCGAGTCCCCGAAAGCCCAGAATCGACGCAAAAGAAGAAGCCAATCAAGGCAACCAGGCTAGAGTGCAAGCTAGCAAACCCCTCAGATCTTGCGTCAAGAACGGCATGCTTGCTTTGATTTCACTTTTGAAGCCTGTGACAGGAAACACTTAAAGGCAGCATCTCCAACGTGCATCCGACTGAGCAAATTCTCCCGAAGCAGAGCCGCCAAGTCATTCATAGGTCCGTGCAAATGGCGCGTCTCGATCTCTGGGTGTGGCTTTTGGCGCTGCGATGGAGCCCCTTGCCTGAAGCTGCAGAGGCTGATTTCCGATTCAAAGGTTGGTTGCCCGTGATTGCCAGGCGGATCCAGGCGAATTCTTCCAACTGCTCTGGCATGCTCTGGCCCACATCCTGGAGGGAGCTGCCAGAACATCTCTTTAGCGTTGTTAGGGGCTAAGGCGGCTTGGTTTAAAGCCTCTTTTTCAGCTCTATCTGCCGCGAGCTCTTCAGGGCCCCCGGCATAGTGGGGCAACAATCGGCCCAGGCTTTGCAAGATTGTCCTAAACTCTTAGGGCTGTCTGATTGCGACATGTTTTGCCCGGATCCTTCTAGGTCATGCTAGGTCGCATCAAGAATCGTTTAGTGGCACCCGCTGCCCCTGCGCCAGTCGGCGAAGCATTTGGGGACGGCGCTTCGGATCCGTTTGTTTACTTCGTGGTTGTCATGAGTCCGAACCCACTGTCCGGGCTGTTCGCTTGACCCGGGAAATGACAATCTCGCCATATCGCGCCTGTTGAACAGGTCACGGTTTGTTCAAGACCAGTTAGCTTCCAGGTGCTTTCCCAGTTCCATGTTAGTGGGAGGAAGATGGAGGAAGTGTCAAACCATGTTTGATTCCCGCCCTGTCTGGGCTGGACTGCTTTGACACATGCTGCCACCACTTGCCCAGCCGCCTGGTTTGTTTGGCCTGGAGTGGCTGGTTTCCCACCCGTCGTTACGTTTTTCGCGGACGCCTGCTTTTCCGACTGCTCAGGATTGCTTAGCGTGTCATTTTAACATTCCTGGTTCACAAGCATCCGGGAGGGGGGGAGCAGGCTGGTGGGGTGGATAATAAATAGGTGAGGCGTTGGCAAAAAAAGCGTTCCTTTCTTCCTATTGTTGACCCCCACTAAATCCAGGGAAACACCACCCTATGAATACACTGGGGTTGATTAATACAGGGTCAACATTATGGCCAGAGGTCAAAGCATCGCCTTTTCGGACGCCTGAGGTCTGGCGTTGCCTGTGCTGCAGAAATGGTCCTGCATGCCTTTGCCCGGGAAATGCCATGGCCACCGAGAGCAGCTGGCAGGGGGGCCCGAAACAAGTCATGCGAAGGTTTTTGCCTTTTTGAAGAAATGATGGGTTCCACTATCTACATGTATATATATATATACATATACAAATAAATAAATATATATATATATATATAGATACACAGTTCTTCCACAGGCCTGTGCAGGTAAACCAGGGAACTACCCAAAGCTACGAGGAAAGTGCTGGTTACCTACAAAAGTGGGGCAACTGAGTCATGTTTCCAGAGGCCCTGACTGCAAGCCCCCGGATGGCCAGGAGGCTCGCACGATGCAGTTGTGCTGCCCAGGGTGGGAGGGATACACGTAAGGCAAACCTTTCCAGGAGGTTCCTTTTCTTGAAGAGATCCACCAAGCCCCCTCCGAGGTAGTGACACCCTGGTGCATAGCCTTCATCCCGCACGTGGTGCACCATGTGACAATGTGTGGGCACTGCACATTCGACGAAACATGTGTCCCCAGTTTCGCGCCACGTTGGGGGTCGATACCCGGCCAGGTTTCGTTTTGAATCAACTCATGTCTTGACTTTACGCCACTTGCGTCTCCCGATAGGCTCGCGGCACCGTTTTTGGTGGACTGGGACGGCGACGGGTCGCATGACCTCCTCGTGGGGGAGAACGACGGCACGGTGAGGCAGCGGGGTTGATGTTCAGAATCCGGCTTTGCTAATTTCGTATGCGGAGTGCCCGGAAACGCGACCTGGCACATGTTCAAACTGAAGCCGAGCCGTGTGTTTTCACTCCAGCCTAAGTGGCAACAACATGACAAGCAACAACATGCAACAACAAATCCCAAGCAGTGTTCCTGAAAATGTTCACCACAGAAACCGTTACAGGATGCATCGGTGTGAGTTTTAGAACGGCAAGCTTTGCGACCCGCCCGATAGAGGGGTAGGGGGCGTCTTACTCGTTTGGTGGGGGGGCGGGGGGTGGGGGGAGGGGGGGGGGGAGCGCTTGTACCTGCTGTGGGCTTGAAGAAGGCGGGGTGTGTACACATCCGTTCCCGGAAGGGGAGGGAGTCTTTTGAGTCTAAGGCCGCTTTCAAAAGCTATCAAAAGCTGTTTTGGCCAAAGTCTTTCGAGATTTCGGCCAGAGACTGTTTTTGGCGCAGAGCCAGAAAATAAGCAAGGTCAGCAAGTCCATTGCCAAGACGTTTCACCCCGTTTAGCATGTGACTGCTGCAGCAATCGGGGGGGAGGGGAGAGGTGAGGTGGGTGGGTCTTGCTGACCAAGACCAAGCAGATGAAAAGAACTACTGCGGAATTTGTGTTTTGGCTCAACGTGAGATTCTGGTGGAGGGGCGCGGGTGCCCCTGAAGGTACTACAAGGAGGTCAACGGCAAGTACTTCATCCAAAGCGGTGCCGGGAACCCCTTCCGCGCGCCCAGGAAGCAGCTGGCGTTAGGAGCTTGCTAGACTTGTCTCGGATCGTCAGAGTTAGAATCAGGATATGACTAGTTCATTTATGTACGCTGCGAGGGCGGCTCAAATTGAATGAAATTGGTTTCAAGGTTTCCTTTACCTAATTAATTTACCTCCAGTTGTCATCCTCGAAAGACCCACGCAAGTGAAATTGCTCGTCGGCTCTTGCTGGGCAATCCCAGTTTCTCGCCTTTGTTTGCATTTGCCCCTATAAGGAGGAAAAGTGATGTGCCCTGCGTCGGGTGAAGTTGCATCGTGCTGATTGTGGTGGTGGCAAGGGCTTTCTAACCCCGGATATAAAATTTGGGTCTGGCCAAGGGGCCGCGGAGCCATTGAAGGAGAGCGAGTTGTTCCGAAAGCTTCACAAACCCGAGCCTCAGCACCCCCGAAAGAGCTGCACCCTGTAACAATCCACAAGGTGCGCATGCCAAGGAACATGTTGGACACAAAAGGGGTCAAACGGAGACTAGGAACCTACTGGCGCCTGCCTGGTGCCCCATGGAAAGCCAATGGACCAGCCATTTAAACGGTGACTGCCCCTTGCCGCTTTCGACGGCGCGAAGCACGTTGGCTCGAACAGTCTCAGCCACCTGAAGGGTAGAGGGTTGCTGTAAGCCACAAAGTCTAAACGGAATTGTGGGAAATCAGAGAGGCCCGAAAATAGGGGTGTTCCTTTTGGTTTCCCTTGCAATCCACCTGAAAAGGGTAGCCTCAAGCAAAATTCCTGGAGTTGATCATTCAGGGTATGTGCTGTTGTTTGACACCTGGAACGAACCCTAAGCCACCCCAACACTCCCACAGCCTCAACGTCCACCAACCCAGCCTCAACGCCCATCCCAAAACCAAGCACCACTCCTAGCCCCTTGGTCAGACCCAATTTGTTTTTGTAAGCGGGTCAATGAATTCGAGGAGTTGATCATCCACGCAAAGCAAACCCGCCATGTTCGGCAGGTGATCACCGCAGCACCTCGCCGGAACGGCAGCTACTCGGCCGCCACACCGGTGGCTGTGGACTTCGACGGGGACGGTGAGCTGGACCGGGGGAGGGGGGGTTTGGCGGGTAGTGCCCTTTTACACCTTTCTTGGGGGAGGGTCCCCCTGACGGACGGGCTGAGTGACGTGGGTAATGGCCATAGTCATAAGCCCACAAAAGCCCAAGTAGGCTTCAGGACGTGGAGTTTCTTTTGCCCGAGGGCTTGACACTTCTTGCCACCATGTTAGAGGTCAATTAAAAATTAAAAGGTTTAGGCTTCATTGGAACATGTCCAGGTCCTTTGGGCAGGTGTGGCTTGCCGCTTCAAAGGTCCACCTTGCGAATGTGAAGGGACGGGGGCCAAGGTCAGAAACGTGGAAGCTGACACTTTGGGGCAACCCTGGTAGGCGGTTCCAAAAGTGTCACATTCAAACTCCTGGGTTTTGTGGTGTATATTTGTATTTTAAAATGAATTTATAGAAATCCAGATATTAGACAAGATACGAAAGGATGATAATAGAAATTATGAGGTCTCTTGGCGTCTCTTTTTACCAGTCTTCTCTTTATTTTTGTCTGTCTTGTTCCATCCTTTCTCCACTCTATCTCTCCGGGTTTTGAAGAGGCAAGCATGAAGAGAAACGATACAAAGACATTGGCCAAGTGACAGACATTTTTGGGTTTTAGAGCAAGGACACCAAATAAAATGTCAAGGGATACATTTTCATATCTTATTTACGTCACATCCTGTCCATCATAAAGAGAATTAATGTAATAGGCTATTTCCTCATCTTGAATTCTTCTTTGGGACATTCTGTAGCCATGAAAGGAATAGCATTATATTATTTCCATAGCTTTTCATCTCTTTTCTCTTTGCTGACTAGTGGCAAAGGAAACAGGAGACGACCAGATGAAAAGAGACCTATCCCTTCCCCACCCATTCACTGTTGATGATTGATAGGCTTCGAGGGGATAGGTGAGACGACGGTACGAAGGGATGGAAGAAGTCAATTAACGCCAGGCTGCTACCAAAGTCTTGACAGTTCATCCAAGTTCTCAGGGTCTTGTGTCCCAAGCTTGCAGGACACCTTGAAGGGGAAGGTTTCGTTTCAAGTTAACATCCTGAGCGAGCATCCCGCGCATGGTTCCCCATGAGCGGCTTCCCAGCTCGATTGTCTCTTCAAGCATTGATCGCTTTCTTACATGAGCACTGCATCTGCTGCACGTGCAAGGGTCTCTTTGTTCTTTGGCATTGTATGTGAAAAGCTGACAGATGCTGACGGCACTGAGCTTTTTCTGCCTTTGTACTGTAAGGATTGCTTGCAAGGTCGTTGGGGAATGGGAGAAGGAACTTCAACGCTTACCAGGTCCTACCAGGCATATTGAAAGCGGCAGCGCGCCAACATGCGTCCGCATGTGGTCAGGAACTCGTTCTGTCCGTAGAGGGACGGATACGCTACTTCAAGCGGCGCCTTGGCCTTTAGGCGGGAGCTTGGGGGAGAAGTTGGCATGGAGGGTCACTCTTGTGGTTTGCCATCGTACGTTTCCCCCAGAAAGGTTATGCGACCAAACCGTGTTTAATGGCAATCGCTCAGGTACAGCATATGTGTTAGGACGATGCATGACAGGTCCTCTTGTATTTCAGACAGCCACTTGTAAGATTTGCAAAACCTAGATTGTGCCAAGCGCTGGTAAGATAGCATGAGAAGGATTGACAAACATCAATCCGCCTGTGCGGCCAACTGCCTGAGAAATCGGGTCCGTCCACAGCACTTTTGTCAGGAAACTGGCATGGTGCAACCCTTTAGACAGACAGCCTTGGTGTTGAGAATGTGCTGCGCTAAGACTTGCAGATTTAAGCCATTTCGCTTGGGTCTTGCTGGTTTAATGTGGCTTGCATGTGCCCGGGTTAAACATGTTTCAACGAGGGGTTGGCCCACCCCCCAATCACCCAACCTTCACCAGCCTTCTTCTTCCCAGGCGGGGCGGGGAGCTGTGGGAGGTTGCCGATAGCCCCTTCAGCAGCATCAGGCGCGCGGCAGGGAGGCGTTGGGCATGGTTGAGCGCCAGATTTCCAATCAGCCAATGGATGTAGGGCTTCTGATTGAACAACTCCGGATGTGGGTGGCTTCTTGTAGCGGGGGATTGGTCAGTCCCAGGGTCCCTCGGTGAACACGGGTGCGATTGAGACGCGTTTTTTGGTCTTCTTTTCTTGTTGCCATGGCTTGAAGTTTGCTGGCAAGGGCACGGTTCTACACTTGTGTGACGCATTGTCACACCTGCCACGACCTCGCCTGGAGAGTTACACAAGCCTGCGTGAGCGTGCATGATGTATTGTACCCAGCCTGTACGCATGAGCTCGGTTGCTGGCTGGTGAGAAGTGGCAGGGAGCGGTTACCCGCGCCGGACCAGCGTTCACCTTCTCCAAGTCGGCGCTTTCGCCTCGGCGCTTTCGGCCCTGAGGTGCAGCTGGTTGATTTGCCGCTTCGATGCGCTCTGGCAGCAGGAGGTGTGTTGGTCGCTGTCTAGAGCGCACACATTTTTTTTAAATAAAGGACAGATGCATATAAGAGCAAACTGTAAACGTGCATGTTTGGAAAGGTGAGTTTCTATCCCATGTGCTCGATACGAGTGTTTAGGTTGATCCACTTGAGGTGAAGAGCTGGATGGGCTGGATTAAGCCGGGCTGGATTTATTTAGATTGAATTGGAAATGGAGGATGGACGTATGAACGGATGGATGGAAGCCGTCGAGGGCTCACGAAGCGGTGACCAGGCGTTGCTTTTCCGCCATGGGAAGGGTTGACGGGTTGACCAGCCCCAGTCACCAGAAATGTTCGCACGGATTCTCGCAATAGTTCTCCGGAAAGCTGCCTCGAAGAAGCTTGAAAAACGGGGTGGTCCTGTAGGGGGTTCACGGATGTTTGAAAAGCAGCCGGGGCTCGATTCCCACTTTTTCGGGCTGGACTGTTTTGACATGCTGCCGTTCCACATTGCCCGGATGCATGCTTTGCCAATTGTTTGGCCTTGCTCTTTCGGGAGGGGGGAGATATGGACAGGACTTGTCTAAACCAGCTGATGGACGGGCAACATTGGCACACACGCTTGGCGTTTTTCTCACGCGGGAGTCGAGTTTTTCTCTGCGGTTTTGAGGTGGCGGATTGGGACGGAGATGGGGACATGGACGTAGTTGTGTCAGAAGGTCGAGGCTTGGGCCGCGAGCCAAATCCAACGCGAGCGCATAATATCCGACGCGGGCGTTGCCCTTAGGGAGTCCAAAAGGAAGACTCGGGGCAAGCCGTTCGCTGTCCTGTCATGACTTGAGCTGCTCCTGAGTTCATGGACTTTAACCACTTTTTGGGAAGACTATTTTAGTGGTAAATCAGCAGTTTGGTTGTTTTTTTTGGTTTGTGGGGGGTGGGCATCAACTCATTCAGCGAGGCTACCATGAAGCGTGTCACATCTAAGTAAAGTGGAAGTTGTGCTCCGTGCTGGGTATAGTAGTGCAGGCCTCGCTTACTTCGAGAATTCCAACGGCGCGATGATTCCCAGGACCGCAGCCAGTCCCTACCGAGTTCTCGCGCGATCTTGAATAACTTTAATCGTCGAATTTGAGGCATGACCCTTTGTCATTAAGGAAGAGGCGCGAGCTGCAGCTGTTACATTCCCTTCCCGGGTCGCAGGAGCAGGGAATTGCACAGGAATCCATGTTGTCAAGAGACCAAATGTGAAGCTCCTTGAAGTCTGGCAGACCGGTTTTTCGTAGAAGGGGTGTGGCAAGGCGTGGCAACCGGAGTGGCAGGACCGGTGGGAGCAATCCATTCCACGATGTCGTGGCAAAGTATGTGGACAACCATCGTGGCTGGGATGGCTTCTACAGCTCGTGCCTCGTGCATCCCAGTGGTTGGTTTCCTTTGGACGGGGACGCAAAGGGACAGCCACGATTTGGGCACCTGGAAGGTTTTCCCCCCAATGGCTGTCACCAGGCCCCAACATTGCCCACAGATGGTGCAACAATTCGCCAACCATGTGACCGCCTTTGTTTTGGGGGTCCTTGTTAGTGGTTCCAGGCTATCCCACGTGCCTTTGGGGGGCCCTCCAATGTTTCACACCCATGACGCAGTTTGTTTTGGCGCCTGCGGTTGGGGGGCCTTCGCGTGGGGCCAAGAGCGATAGGCCTGTTGTCCCGTGTAAAATTGACATCGACCAGTTCTGCCCACTGGCGCTGTGTTTTTTTCTGGCTGTTTGCTTGGATCTTTGGATCGTTTTTGGACTTTGGCATTTTTTTGCTTGAAACAGCTCGGAGTTTCCATGCACCCACCAGAAGCTGTCTCAAGTTTGGGGGTTCAATCAACAGCAAGCAAATGCTGTTGGATCTCCTTGGTGTTCCCTTCCTTTTCAGCCCTTTTCGTCGACCGACTGGGTGGGTGCCGTTAAGGGGCCGTGACCCGAGGCCTTGCATGGCGGACTGGGACGGGGACGGGGACCTGGATCTGCTGGTGGGTCAGGCGCGGCGATCGGAACCGCATCCGCCCTGAACAAAACGGAAACCGAGGCGACTTGAAGGGGTAGCAACCATAGGTACAACCCACTTAGGGAGACTTGTAACCATGATATGTAAAGTGGGTGGTAAGTGGCTAGTAAGCCTGGTGAGAGAAAAAACCACTTACCATGGCTATAACCTCCGTTCAGTGGGCTATAACCAGGCTTACTAAGCGCTTATGGGCAACAACTATGGTTATAGCCCACTGACGTATCCGATCGCTGTATTCTCACTCCCTGAGTTTATGGGCTTGAAGACAATTTTGGGAAGACAATTTTGTTGGTAAATCAAGAGTTCGGACTTTTTGTTTGCCCCGCTACTCAAGACAAGTGAGTATTGGTCCAACCACTTAAACATCACGGAAAAGATTGTTGTGCAGCCCATTTAGGTGGTACACAACAGGTTCAGAGTTTTGCTGACCAACCCACTCAGGATCAAGCTCCTTTAGTCCTCCTTTTGATTCCCCTTTGCTCAAGCAATTTTGCCCAATGGTGCCACGGACACATGCGGAAACAAGCTGGTTCCATGACAGTGAGCTTCTTGATGAGTTCTCAAGACAACTTTTGGGGTTCGCTTCCCTTTAACCGCCAGAGATTTAGAGTAGTCTTGAGGAGTTTCTTAGACGGGCTTGTCTCAAAATCGGACACCTGGTGGTTTCCTGTTTCCCTTCAAAACCAACCAAGAGCTTTTCTCAACAAAAACCGAACCCCAAAGCCCTTTGCGTAGGCCGATGGCTCGGTGCTGTACTTCGAGCGGGTGGAGAGTGACAAGCCGGTGCAGCAAGAGGGCCCCAGCAACCCGCCGCTCGGTGGCGTATCTTTTTTTCCCAAGGGAGAGCTTGGGTCACTCCCTGAGCGCCAGTGGGTATTAACTAGTAATAACCATGGTTATAACCCACTTGCTATGGTTGCAGGTCTCCTAAGTGGGTTTAGTGTGTCGTTGGACCAAATGGATGGTTCCTTGGGTTTCGCGGGAGAAACCGGCACCAAAAAGGGCAACCTGGCTTTTGTGTCGCTATACGTGTTTGACCCAACCCTGTGTTTGTTGATTTTGCATTCGAAGCAGCAGGCAACATTGATGAAGACTTTTTTCAACCTCTCTGCCTACCTCTTGGATTTGGGGTCCAAAAAGTGTCGAATACATGGGGTCCCTTTGTCCATCCGTCCATCCAAGGTTTGCAGCGGTGAAGGGCCACGCCTACCCAGCCGTGCACGCCGCAGATGTGAACGGGGACGGCAAGCTGCAGCTGTTTGGCCATTGAAGTGAGCATTTGAAGGGGTTCTCCAAATTTAGCTCATGGTTTAGATCAGTTGCGTTTACGAGGGTTTTGTTCCAGAGCTGCTTATGCTTATCTTTAAGCAGGGAGGCAAAGAGCCGGCCCCATCGCCACATGTGGGCCAAGGCTGATGGTGGGGGATCTGGATGGCAAGGTGAACATCTACAGCCGGAAGCAGGACGGGCGACTCTGCCATCAAAACACTGCGGCCCCCTTTTCGAGGAAGCCAAACTCGGATGAGTTCCTTCTGCAAGTCTCTTCCGCGCCTTGGAACTGCCTCGGAAGCGGGTCCACTGAAGGCCCTAGGCTGTGCATGTAATCCAATGTCAGGCAGGGCTTCTGCTTTTGGGCACCTCCATTTGTTTTAGGAGCGAGCACAGGGACGGCATTGTAGAAAACAAGTGGAACGGCAGCAGCCGGTCTTTTGGTTCAACGTCGTTTGGCATGTAAGCTTTGAGATGATCACCCTCGTCACTGAATTGCCTTCGCATGCTGGCAACACAATGACAGCCGGATGGTTGCGAAGCTCGTCCAGAAAGCGTGTCACCAGAAAGTGGTGTTAGCACTTCCTTTTTTGAGGGAGGTCCTTCATACCACAATTGCCACAAATTAATGGGGGCATTTGTTGTGGATATCACCTTAATGAACCCATGTTGCTGCATCCTTTCAGCTCGGAGCTTCCTTTCTTAGTTCTCAAGAGGCCAAAAGGAGCACTGAAGCCTGTTGGGGGGGTTCCCGAAATGGCTTTGGCAGGTCTCTGCCGAACTTCCTGTAGAAGTCCTTCCGTTGCTGGCGTCTGATGTCTGATGTGAGTGAGAGGAGAGTGTGGCCACGCAGGACCTGCGGCTGAGGCGGCGGCATGGCACGTCCAACCCCTTCCACAGCGCTGGTCTGCTGACATCAGCGGTGCCAGCTGTTCCCTTGGTAGATGCCCCTTGGCAGCGGCCCCAAGCTCGAACTCCCGCACAGTTGTCCTCCAGAACAACGGTTTTCCGAGCTCCAGGTTAGTCTTCAGGCGAGTACGCAGGGTCTTCACTGGGATCCGGGGATGCCATGTCTTTGAGTGCTTGCTGTAGGCAGCGGAATCGAAACACTGGTCCGTCATGTAACTTTGTATCTTGCCCTGGAGGGGTCAAGCATCCCCCAAGAGCATGCTGGCGAGCATCCGGTTGGCTCACAAGGAGTACAACCAGATGTACCTCATGTTCCAGCAGGCACTTGGGCTGCACTGGTGAGAGGTGCATGACGCATGCCCATTCACTGGGCCTTGGCGGCCTTCGAAAAATGGGCCGGCAAACAAAAACCGAAGATTTACCGCGCAGTGTAATACTCAGGGACCGCATACCGGAGATGGCCTGTAGCTCCCCAAGGAAGCCAACACGGCATCATCGGTTCCTGAGAGCTTCCAACGGAGTTTGCAAACCAACCAAGCAGGTGTTCGCCAAGTTAGAACTTTCTGCAAAGCCACATGGGTTCTCAAAATTCGCTGGCCAACATGGGTGCCTTTCTTTCTGCTTCCCTTTGCCACCGACTCCCCCCACAAAATTAGGCCGCCCTCCCGGTGGGCCTGCGGTTGCGCCTCTCAGGCGAATGTGGGCCGGGTGCAGATCTTTCAGCGCCTGGCCAATGGCACGCTGCGGAACATCACCAACGGCACCCCCGCCGCCGGGGCCTCGGAGCTCCGGCGATTCCGGCGATGCGGGGCACGTGTCACCGTCCCTGGCCTTTGAAGGGTGCTGGATCGATTTCCTAAAGCCTGTCTGTCAGGCAAGGGTCAACATCCTTGTTTCTCGTTCTTTTTGAGGTGGCCAGGGTATAGTTACAAAAGCTTGGCTCACCCTGGTCAGCCAAATAGGCGGCGCATGCTGCCAGAAGAGCACCTGTCACCTACATGAGAGGGTACCTGATGGTTCCTGTCTGTTGAAAGGACCAGATGCCGTGCTGAGGATAGTGGCTGCCTGTTCAAGCATGTTTGAATGTTTGAGCCAGCATTTTGAAGGCATCCTCAGAAAGCCTTGTGGCTGGGGTGGCTGCGGGTTGGTTCCAGGCCGCCAGTCTGGCCACCTGGCGCCCTGCAGGCGGACTCGGCGAACTGGGCTTTGTATTCGGTGCCTCGCGAGTGTCTTCTGATGGGTTCCCCGGGGGTGCACTTTAATCATGATCTGCCCCAACGAAAGGGCGTCCTTGTTTGGGTCATGTCAACATTTGCTTTTTTTTGTTTGGTGGGGGGGGGGGTCTGGTTCAGTCTTTTTGACCATATTTCGTTGATTCCAGTGTTAGCCGTGGCTTTGGACGTCAGAGCGTTGACGTTCCCAATTCCCAGTTGAAGGCGGAAACGGATGTCAAAGCTAGCGCTTGGCATAGACGGAGGCTGGTCAGATCAGCAGTTTGCAGTTGAGAGTTTGCTATGTAGGCCAGGCCATCGATGTTGACTTCAACAAGGACGGTCAGATGGATAGGCGGGGCAATTACCCTCGCGCACAGGAGGTGTTGTTTATTGCTTCTTGCCGCTTGACTTGCTGGATCGAGGCTGAACATCTACCACGATGGCCGGATTGAGTACCAAGAGCGCGTCAACGGAGTTCTTGAATGGAAGACTGGGCCAGAGAGTCCCTTCTTCGGGCTGGATTTGGACAACGGGCTGGCCGAATCTTGCAAGGCAAATTAGTCACGAGTGATGTCGTAAGTTTCACAGATAAGCTGCGTAGATTATTGTGTTTGGGCCAGCTGCTTGTCGCAGCCTCTGATGGTTTCGAAGACTTTCAACCAATGAGGATGTAGAGTTTGAGCAAACTGCCAGGAAGGCGACGCTACTTGGCTAATCAGACTTGCTAGGCACGAGAACTGACACAGGCAGCCTGACAAAGGTGCCAATGTGTGTGTGTGTGTGTGTGTGTGTGTGTGTGTGTGTGTGTGTGTGTGTGTGTGTGTGTGTGTGTGTGTGTGTGTGTGTGTGTGTGTGTGTGTGTGTGTGTGTGTGTGTGTGTGTGTGTGTGTGTGTGTGTGTGTGTGTGTGTGTGTGTGTGTGTGTGTGTGTGTGTGTGTGTGTGTGTGTGTGTGTGTGTGTGTGTGTGTGTGTGTGTGTGTGTGTGTGTGTGTGTGTGTGTGTGTGTGTGTGTGTGTGTGTGTGTGTGTGTGTGTGTGTGTGTGTGCGGAGTGGCAGAAAACCCTGCCACCAAAACCGTTTTCTGTTGCTGCAGGGGGCCAGCGGCCATCAAGCAAACGCTGGCCAACGAAGCTATGCTTGATGGTGGATGCACGGATTGATCACCCGTGTGTACCTGCGTTTGTGAAGTGATGTTGATGAAAGTCCTTTTGGCCCTCTCCTTTCGCTCGCTGTGTGTGCTTCATGTTGGAACTGGTAACGTTTTCGACACTAGAGTGAAACCGAGTGCATTGCGAGCCGAACCACCCACTCGAGACTCATCAGTTGTACTCGAGACTCATCAGTTGTACTCGAAAGATTAGCACTCTCCATCTGGAGTTTAAGTGTGTACACCCCATTCGTGGGGAATCCTCGGGTGTACCCATTGTGTGACCCCGGGCCGGCTCTGTCGGAAAATTTGACCTCAACGTGCTGATCATAGAACAGCGGAATTTCACATTTAACCAGGAACGAGGTTTCACTAAAGGGAAGAAAGCCGTCAGATCATAGCGACGTCTCACCCTACGTCCCCCCCCCCCCCTTTTTTCTCGCCTTCTTCATCCGCGTGCCCGTCTTCTGGTCCTTCGCCCGCTTAGGGATGGCTTCTCCTTCCTCCCGTTCTCTTTTTGCTGCCTTTCGTGACCCGCGCGTTCGTCCCGCTCCTGTTCGCCCGCTTAGGGATGGCCTGGTTGTCCTCGCGTTGTTCACCTTTTTCCTCGTCTTCGTCTTCGCGTCTGTCTTCCTGTTCCTACTCCTCTTCTTCCTCACGTAGTTTGGCTTGACGTCTTCTTCCCCTTCCGTTGCTACTTCGGGTCCGTCCTCTTGGCCCCTGTGCGGGATTCGACGTCTTTCTCCGCGAGCCTTGGTCTTCATCCTCTGTTCCTATCTGGGCGGGATGCGTCGCCCTAAAAAACGCATACTACTCCTTCCCTCTTCCCTCTTCCTCTTCTTTCTTCCTTCTTCTTTCTTTTCTCCTTTTGTCTCCTTGCCTTTTGCTTCTTGTTCCTTCTTCCCGGGCGGGATGCGGCGCCCTAAATACGCACCCTGATCCTTTCTTTTTTCCCCCGGGCGGTTGCGTCGCCCTAAATACGCTTCTGCCTCTCTCTCTCTTTCTCTCTCTTTTTCTGTGTCTGTCTCTCTCTCTCTCTCTCTCTCTCTCTCTCTCTTTCTTTCTCTCTTTCGTCCCTTTCTTTCTTCCCTTTCTTTTTCTTTCCCTCTCTGGGCTATTTCTTGTACTTCCTGTTCGCCCGGTTAGGGATGGCCTGCTCCTCTTCTGCCTCTTTGCCTTCGCGGCCCCTTTCGTCTACAAGGTTTAGGTCGTTTTGTGCTGGTTGGGGTTGTTGCCCTCGGAGACCCGAAACCTGGCTTCCCCGTTGTTCTTGTTTCTTGTTTGGGGTTTTGCCCGCGGAGACCCAACCTGGGGCCTTTCTGTTTCTTTTGGGTTCCCTTGCTCCGTTTGTTTTCTGTTGGGGTCTTCGCCCGGTTTTGGGGCGCGTGGTTTTTCTCCCCCCGAAAAAGTGGTTCTCGCCCCTCGTAGAGGGGCGTGTGTGTGCGGAGTGGCAGAAAACCCTGCCACCAATCTTTTCTTCGATCTTCCTGCAGGAGAAAAGAGAAACCTCGCCCCTCGTTGAGGGGCGTGTGTGTGCGGAGTGGCAGAAAACCCTGCCACCAAAACCGTTTTCTGTTGCTGCAGGGGGCCAGCGGCCATCAAGCAAACGCTGGCCAACGAAGCTATGCTTGATGGTGGATGCACGGATTGATCACCCGTGTGTACCTGCGTTTGTGAAGTGATGTTGATGAAAGTCCTTTTGGCCCTCTCCTTTCGCTCGCTGTGTGTGCTTCATGTTGGAACTGGTAACGTTTTCGACACTAGAGTGAAACCGAGTGCATTGCGAGCCGAACCCACACCCACTCGAGACTCATCAGTTGTACTCGAGACTCATCAGTTGCACTCGAAAGATTAGCACTCTCCATCTGGAGTTTAAGTGTGTCTGTGGGTGGGTGGGTGGGTGGGTGGGTGGGTGGGAGTGGGCCGGCTGGCGGGCGGGCGGGCGGGTGGGCGGCCGGCCGGCAGGTGGGCGGGCGGGCGGGCGGGCGGGCGGGCCGGCCGGCAGGTGGGCGGGCGGGCGGGTGGGTGGGTGGGTGGGTGGGCGTGCGTGTGCGTGTGAAAGTAGGACGCTCCCGCAGTGGTTTTCCCTTTGGTTTTTCTTCGAATCCCCCCCCAAGAAAACAGCCAACTTTGCCCTTGCCAGATCGAGCCTGCCCTGTTTCTCCCCCATTTTGTGGCCCCGCCTCACTGCCTCACCGTGGTCGGCTCGCAGTTTCCCAAGGGGCATGCGACAGGATGCCAAAGTGGCGGGCTTTCTGCCCATCGATTGGAACGGGGACGGGAAGATGGATCTGCTGATCGGCCCCTGGGGCCTGGGGCACCTCAAGTACTTCGAAGCGGGCTGGTGTGACTCGAACCGACGGGGGGCAAAACGGGTTGAGTTCAGGTGAGCCACGGGCTCAAAACAAAGCAATGGAGGGCAATTGGAGGGATTTCTGGGGCAATCCCGGCAAATGGGCGCGGCCGCCTTGTCAATTCTTTACATGCCTCTGGGTTCAGCATTTGTACTGGATTTTGATCATGACTGTGCTGAAAGTAGGTTCACTTCTCCGACATTTTGGGTTCAGGCGCTTTTCCTTTCTTTTGCATCCCCCTCCCCGGCCCATTTTTCACTTTCCTTCAATCAGGGCCAACTCTTTGGTGGTTTCCATGTGAATTTTTGGGAGGGGAATCGTTGCTCTGGATTGGTGTTCGGATTGAGGGCAAGCGGGAAACCCCGGAAGACCACCAAACAACCAAGTCAATACCAGGAGGGAAGCTGATGAGAGAGAAGCCTCCCAGGTTTCAATTCCCAAACTGGCGTGGAACTCGGTATGTGTTTGTAATGTAGGGGGCCACGTACTTAGGCACATGGCCTCGTTTGGCATTACATTTCCTCACAGCACCGGTCTAATCAATTATTTAAGCCCTTTCTACTAGGCTATTTCCTTGATGTTGGTAGGTATCCCTCTTGTCCGCCAACATGGAATCTGCCAGATTTGGCCACTTTCAAAGGAAAAGGGTCCAAACCAGAACCCCTGTCAGGGCGAACTTTGCTTGTTGTTGTTGCTTCAGGTTGGGGCTCAATCAAATTCATGGTGCCGTGTGACCTGAGCCAAGAGGGTTCAATCCCTTCTCTTGTTGCTGTGTCCTATGTCTTTTGTTCATTAACTTTCCCAACAGACTTAAATCATCCCAAAACACATGTTCTTTTCTGTTTTTGGTTGGTGTGTGTGTGTGTGGGTGTGTGTGTGTGTGTGTGTGTGTGTGTGTGTGTGTGTGTGGGTGTGCGTGTGCGTGTGCGTGTGCGTGTGCGTGTGCGTGTGCGTGTGCGTGTGCGTGTGTGTGCGTGTGCGTGTGCGTGTGCGTGTGCGTGTGCGTGTGCGTGTGCGTGTGCGTGTGCGTGTGCGTGTGCGTGTGCGTGTGCGTGTGCGTGTGCGTGTGCGTGTGTGTGCGTGTGGGTGTGGGTGTGGGTGTGGGTGTGGGTGTGGGTGTGGGTGTGGGTGTGGGTGTGGGTGTGGGTGTGGGTGTGGGTGTGTGTGTGTGTGTGTGTGTGTCTGTGTTTGTTTGTTTGTTTGTTGGTTGGTTGGTTGGTTGGTTTGTTTGCTTGTGTGTGTGTGTGGGTGGCTGTGTGTGGGTGTGTGCGTGTGTGCGTGTGTGTGTGTGTGTGGGTGGCTGTGTGTGCGTGTGTGCGTGTGTGCGTGTGTGCGTGTGTGCGTGTGTGCGTGCGTGCGTGCGTGCGTGGGTGGGTGGGTGGGTGGGTGCGTGCGTGCGTGCGTGCGTGGGTGCGTGGGTGCGTAGGTGCGTGGGTGCGTGAGTGCGTGGGTGCGTGGGTGCGTGGGTGCGTGGGTGCGTGGGTGGGTGCGTGCGTGGGTGCCAGACGATCTCTTGGCCGGTCAGTGGCAAACCCGCGATTTCGCTAGGCAACCGAAACCCGGGCTGCAACTCCAAGGGCATTTGCAACGAGGCGACCGGCGACTGCCACTCGCCTGGCACCACTGGGATCAAGTGCTATGAGAGGCCCCAGTAAGCGAAGAGACCTTTAACCGGTGGGGTTCCCTTTTGAAGTTGGCCAAAGGCGTCACCTTTGTTACATCCTTTTTGGGCAGACGAAGTGCAGCGGAAAAAAGGAAAAGAACACAAGCAAGTCCTTTTTGGGCTGGTGAGTGACATGGGCGTATCGGTGCTGTTTCACCAGAATCTGGGGTGGTACGGAAGGGGCCCTCGCATGTTTGGCACATCTTTCGAGTGCAGGGGTTTCAACTTGCCCCGTCCGGGCTGGACTAGTTTGCCGGTCGGATCCATGACGTTTGCTCGAATCCTGAAGCAAGCTTGAAGACGTTTGGTTCTGTGGCAGGCCAGTCAGAGGGCGGTCGCTCGTGTTTGAGGTGTGTGTGTGTGTCTGTGTGTTCGGTGGCGAGCTGTTCTGAGAGACAGATAGGATTGGGTGGCTACTCAACGGCGCCCAGAAAGTCAGTGGCTTTGAGCCTACAATGCACCAAGCCATGAAGCCACACTTTAGGTTTTTCATCGGCTTGCTAATTAAGCGCTTGGTGCATCTCGTGTAGACATATTGCCTACCTCAGGCAACCGGGTGTGTGTTTGCTATATAAGCACGTGCCACGTTTGATGGCAGAGTACGTATCTTGCCCCTGCTTGGCCATTTGGCTATTTGATGGGTCCGGGCAATCCAGTTCCGAGAGCCTTTGAAGGTCTTGCAGGTGCCAAGCAAGGTGTACTTAAAGAGGCATTGTGCTTGGCAAGTAAAAAGCCATGGTTATAACTTGGCCAACTTACCATGGTTATAAGTTGTAAGACTCCTTGGGTTATAACCGGGCTTAGTAACCTCTTTGCAGGGTCGGGTTGTCTCACCGCGGCACCTCTGGGTCGCTTGTGCCGAGGCGCCTGCATGTGGGGCTCCCCAGGGAGGGGGCTGGGGCTGCTCAAAAAGCGACTAGCCATACAACTCGTGTAATGTTGTCCCCGGATTCAGAAACTTGCTGTTGCTCAGCAGGAATTAAGGGAATGACTTGTAAACCATCCCTTGTATTTTTCCTTTAAAAGGGAATTTTGGGTTCAATCCCTCATTCCCTACTGAGCACCAGCAAGTAAACCCCTCGGTTGAGGGTGTTCCTTTGTAGTGGGGCTTCATAACTTTTGGAGGGGAACAGCCCCCCATGCATAGAGCCGGTTTATTGATCCGGGGTTCACATGGAAAGCCTCGACGGGAATTGGGGCTGCTGGAAAGCCGAATTGTCTGAGCTGCGCCGCAGTGTTGGCTCCTTTTGTCGCGTTTGGTTGCAGATGGTCCGCTGCAAACTTTACCGTTTTCGACATGTTCGATCATGAGGCTGAGCACTACTGGGTCGTTTTGCGACTTGCCATGCGGTCCTTGAGGATTTTTAGTAGAAGGCCTGTACGCATGTTTGTCGGTGGGCTTGGGCGCCCGTCCATCCGAATTTGCAGAAGCTCCCCTTGCGGTCATGCCCGGACAGACCTCCCACCAGTAGCGCATGGGTTGTTTTGTTGATCACTATGCTTCAGATCCTGACTGCCGGGCGATTGCCATGCAGTGGCCAAAAGGTAGACATGTCTTCCTTTTGCTTAAGAACATGTCTTATTTTCCCCTGTCCGGCAAGGCTATAGGCTCAATCCCCCCTCAGCACCTGTTGCTCGAGGGGTTATGTTTTGAGAATTTTCTGGAACCCGCCAGCTCCCTTGGCCGTGAGGACCGGCTACAACCTTGGCGACTGCTCCGGCTGTGCCAGAGGTATCATGTCTGAATGGCGGATGACTCCTTCAGGCTGTCAAACCGAACCCGTGAGAAGGCACTCCCTCCAATGCACAGTCGAAACAAGGCCCCATTGTGTCCTTTCTAGGCTAAATGACAACATGGGGGTATTCCGAGTAGTTGAGCTTGGAGCCATCAAATCAAGCTTAATACACAGGATGGCTTTCAGGCCTCAGCTCATGGAAGAACTGCACGGACTTGTTGGCAGAAGGAGAGCTGACGGAGCCATGGGAGCAGTGGCTGGGGATGCAGTCTGACACAAACTTTCCCGGCAAAGCACTGAGTTGCCTTCAGGACCGCACCCATTGCCACGTTGCCATGCTCCCCTTGGGGCTTCGAAGCCAAGGCTACTTCACCTCGGGGCGACCCTCGAGCCTTGGCGCGGGGAAGCCTTTCAATCCGTGGGGCCCCTTCAACTGCCCAGAGAATCTAAGTGCTGAGATCAAACCATTGGAACAGGACATTTTCAGCTGCAGCTCAGCTGCCCCGAAAATCAGATGGTCCTTCCTTTGTGATGGTTTCAATGTTTGGTTTGTCATGTTTGCAGGGGCTTCTGGTGAGGCATTGCTTGAGGCTAGCGCCTGAAAAAAACGAGTCGCAAGATTGTGGGCACAAAAGTGGACGGTGCAGTTGACACTTTTCGGGCTGCCGCGCCGGCTGCTGGTTTGACACCTGTTGTATTGAACATTGCCCGGACCCCTGCTTTGCCACCTGTTTAGACTTGCCATTTCGACACGCCTGCTTCGCAAACTGTATGGGGGACACAGACGACGAAGAGGGCATGTCTTGCCATGTCGCGCCATAATGAAAAGAGCGCGTTGGCTCTATCGGCAAGCGGTGCCAACACTTGGTCCGCCCTTTCTCAAGTGTTTTTTTCTTAGTGGGACGACTTCTACACCTTCCACCCATCAAGGGATGCCACATGCTGGCGCCTAGGGGAGAGTTGACCCAGTACAGCTGCCACAAATGCCCAGGCGCGACTGACGTTTTGCACACAACTGGTGTATAAAATCTTCCGAAAGGCTGCGATGCATTTGGGTCTGTCTTGTTTTTAGGGTCCCTTTTCGGAGTGGTTTCAAAGGGAAACCGAAAGGAAACCAACCGTTTTGGGGGGTCCCCTAAGAAACACCCATCCTAGTTTTCCTCCTTGGAACCCTTTACTCAAGAAAGATGCACCCAAATATGTTCAAGCTCGATGATCCTGGCAGTTTTGGCTTTGGCTGGATGACTGTAGAAAACAAGAGGCAACGTACAAAGCAGTTGGGCCCGATTTGGCCCTTAAATTATTCCAAAGCTACCTGAGCTATCCCATCCTGGAAGCTTGCCATCACTCTTGGCACCTGTGCGCAGGGGACACACACACACACCACATTGAGCGCAGCGGGGGCTGCTTCCAATCGCAAGCCTGTTGTCCTTTGATTGCTAGTCTTTTTCGATCGTGCCCTTTTGTCTTTTGTAAGGGACAACCAACAGGAAAACCACAATGTTCACGGCCCTCTACAAGGACACACCGATGTGTCAGTTCACAGCTTCAACTAGCCGTTGAACCAAAGGGCCAGCATCAAAACAGAGCGAACGCTATGAGCTTACACAATGAATAGGGTCCTCCTGGCCTGTATGGCCCAAGCCAATGGTCAGGCATCCTGAAACACGACGCCCCGTGCAAAAGCCGGGGGGTTTGCCGGGCACTTAGCTGTGCAAGATGGCAAAAGGAGTCTGGGTGGTCGCCGTTGAAAAAGAGGTTTTGTTTTTGAACATCGCGCATATGGACACTACCTTTCTTGAGCAGCAGGTCACGCTGGCCCTGGTTTCGTCACTGTGTTGCATATGCGTATGGGTGTACCTTTTTTGAGGTAGTGTTTTTGGTATTGTTTTGGAAGGTAGCCAATGGGAAATGATATTTTTTGGTCCCCTATCTTGACGCGAAACCATGTAACGAAGGGATGCTCTTCGCTGTTGGCTGATGGCTCGGCCAGTGAAGACACAAAAGGGCACAGCCTCTTCTCCTCAATTGAAGGCGTCTCAGTCTCGACTTGTTTCTGGTCAGCTTTTCAGAAGTTTACTTGAACGAAACCATCTAAACCATATCCTTTATGTTGAGAACCAGGTCCCACAGCTGAGTCTGTGTGTCTGTGTGTGTTTGTTTTGCGTAGCCGCGGCGTAGCCCTCGGCTTCTGGGCCTTCAGGGCGCAAAGGGCAGAGCCCGCAGGTGGTCATCCAACGCTGCTCTTGGGCACTTCCGTGAATGGTGGTGCGTGGCCTCAAAAATATTGCGCCCAAGATGGTGGTGTTTTGGCCCTCTCCCGTCAAGCTCCCTTGCGACCACCGCAGAAGGGTACAAAAAAGGTGTGTTTCTCAAAATATGAGCCCCCCATGGCTGCGGTTAGCTTCCCCAAAGACTATCCCAAATTGGACTGACCTAGTGGCCCATACTTTACTCGCGGCCTCGAGGTAACGATGACTACAATGCGATGGCGGCGGCTCCGGGGAGGCGCACCCACTGTGAAAAGGGCCGGGAAAAAGCGTTCTGGCCAGTGAAAACATCACCTTTACCAACGGGATTTAGAGTATCCCGTTGCAAAGCAGTTTCTTTTTCCGGATATTTGCTTCAAGGCATCCTTGATAAAGGGTTAGAATGGTTACTGGGGTTGGGGAGTAGTCGAACAGTTGTTTCAAGATAATATAGATGATTAGAATCGGGGTGTGGTGTGCCATAGCACACTATGTGTGCTTGTTTAGCCCTCATATTAGGTGCTACTTCAATACAGTTGTACTTTTCAGAGGGGGAACTTCCAAGGGATGCCTTGGGATGTGCCTAGGGCCTTAGGGCCTTTGGTTGGTGCTGGCTGCCTTTCGGTTGGAAGCCAGTGAGCAAATAAGCAAAAACAAACCTGCGTTCTAAAGCACACGCCAGCTTCGGCGCCCAGGCTCCATGGTAGGCGAGCCGCTTGCATGCCGCGTTGGCCCAGTAAATCAAGGTATGGCTTAGTCAAGTGCCTAGAGCCAATGGAGGCCGGAAACGGCACGGGGCCGTCAGTTCCAGCTCTATCAGTCTGTGCCTTACGCTGCGCAGAGCTTCCCAGGCATGTGTCTTCCTTGCTGGGTGCTAAACTAAATGGCCCATGCGTTCAGTCCAAAAGGAAGCGAATAGGAGATGGGCAATTTGACGGTTTCGTCAGACCCCCGATTTCGGAGGCATCGCTGGGAATCCCTGCTTCCAGGTCGAAGGGCGTCGTCCGCGGCAACGGCACCTGCAGCTGCAGCCCGTTTTTCAGCGGCGAGGACGGCCATCGCGGGCCGCTTCTCGATTGGCCTAAACATTGGCACCGGTCCGTCCGACCGCCAAACGCGGCGCGCCACGCATTCTGCAAGAACTGACAGTTTGGCACAGTTCGTCCAAGAGGCTGCCAATGATTAAAATAATACTACAAAAAACAAGTTGCCGAAGTCTGGATTCTCACGGGTGTCACTGCCAAAACAAGTTGCTGACTAAACACACGTTACAAAAACACCAACACGTTGCGGGGGTGCATGCAATCCGCCCCTGAGACCGGCACCAGGACTGCTCCATGGGAGACTGCCCGCCAGGCTTCGAGTACGCGCCTCGGTTGCCGAGCTGCGCAGTGGCGCAGCCTCGGACTCAGAGGTTCGTCCCTGGACGAACCCTGCGTGAAGGGGCAGGATACTTAGTGGTTGGTTCTAGGGGTTGTTTCCTTTTCCATTCCTTTTAACCATCGCTCTCTTCGAACACCAGCCGTTGTTTTTTTCTGGGTTTCTAGAAAAGGGATCCCTGGAAAGAATGGGGGAGGTACCCCTAGATTAGTAGGTCTGGTTGTAGCCCACTTAGGAGACTTGCAACCACGGCGTTTCTTTTTGGATTAGAACCATAATGATTCATACCCCAAGTACAATGCTCCTTGAAGTAGCATTAGCCAAGCAATGGCCGCTAGGTTTGTGTAGCGGAAGCCTTGTGCTCAGCCCAGATGGGGCGCTGTCAAGGAGTGCATGGCTCCATTGGCACTTTTGATGAGGCTCAGGCCGTAGCATTGCAAATCAAGTGGCCCCTCATTAAATGTGCCAGCGCTGCATCCATCCAGACTCGGTACGTCGCAATTTGGCATGCATCCACAGCTAAGGATGGCAAGCAGATTATCGCGCTCTGCGTCTCTTGCCGGCCCGGCTACTCCAAAGAAGGAGCGAACAACATTGAGAGTCCCGTAGCTGCAATGGGGGGGGGGCCGGCGCAGTGATCTTTCTCCATAGTTGGCGTGGTAAGCAACTATACGCTCCACAGATCTAGCTTGACATGGAATTGCCACAGCCATTGCATTGCTTGGGCCAATTTTCATTTGACGCACATCCTTTGAAGTCAAGAGTGAGACAGATATTGTTTGATTAAGTCGTATTTGAACGTCAACGTTTTGGCCCACAGGTGAGTTTCTTTTGCAAGCAGGGGTGGTGCTACAAGAGGGAATGTAAAGCCCCGGAATCGCCCTTGGCAAAACTCAAACTCTCAAGCTTCATTGTGAAGGTGGCTGGACCCCAAACAACCACTCGATGGTGCCAAATCCTTGTACTGATAGGAGGAGCCCACCAGTCAGAGGAACACCCACAAGTAGACAATTCCTTACTGAAAGTCTGGAATAATCCGAAGTCAGCATTGATTTGTTAGTTTGACTTTGACCGCTGGCTACTAATGAACGTAATTTTTGAACACGAGGATGGGAAGCCGTCACATGTGTTCTCGTAGAACCTTCGCCGTATGGCAAATGCTTGGCCAGATGTCCATGCGCGGAATCTGAGGATGCGAGTTGTGCCCTGAAGGGCACTATGCCAGCGAGAACAGCACGGAGCCTTGCCTGAATGATGTCCACTCGAACATGCAGCAGTTTGTCCCTTTTTTATGGTGCCCCACGCTTTAACAATCCAGACCTTGCCAGGATTTGGGTGACGGTGCTTCTTGAATTTGGGACCCTTGAAACGCTGATGCTTGGTTTCCTTCTGGCCCCCCCCCCCCCCCCAAGCCTACAGCAACTCACCACAGATTGGTTCCCCACACCCGGCATCGGGCAATCGGAAAGGCCATCGGCATCTCAGGCGGAGTGCTCGAAGTGCAGCGGCTCATTCTTCCTCTACGACGTGAACAAGGTGCTTCCTTGCGTTCGGCACACGCCCTGTTGACCCCCTGAGGTCAAAACATCCAGATCACCAAAGTGGGAGGTTAACGTGTTGACTCACTGCGACCCCCAACAAAGCAAGGAGACTCAGCTGATTTCGCCATCAATGTTTTCACGTCTTGGCACCTGGCAGTTTCTTGGGCAACATTGCGTGTCAAATGAACATGGCTGTTCGGCCTGAGAGGGTAGCCTAGCTTTATTTCCCATGCGGCCAGACAGTGTTTGCTGGAGAGGCCTATTTATCCACAGCCGCTGAGGATAGCATGTTTCCGAAACCTGCCCGAGGCCATTCCTCAAAGAAGCGGCTTTCCCCTTAGACCTTGGGTTTTCGGGTGTGCGTGGTTGCGCCAAGCTGAAGCCTCGGCGCCTTTTCGCAGGAGAGGACGGAGTGCACCACGGGGCTGCTGGAGAATGTGCCCACGTTCTTGGCCGTGCTGCTGTGCAGCGCCTCGGATCCTCGGAGACGCAGAGGCTCTGCTTTCGGCTGCAGAGGCTCTCTGCCTCTTGCTTGGGGCGTGGTACGTCAGGTAAGTAGGTACCCATGGGTTACACCCCTGCCATGGTAAGTCTCCTAAGTGGGTTATGACCAAACTTACGAACCACTGAACAAACCCTCAACGAAACTACCAATCCAAACAGGATCCAATGGCGAGGAAGTTGATCCTTATCGCTCACCGATCGCATTGCAAAACGAGCTCACCATGATGCAGATCCTGTACTTGGAGATCCCTTAATTCATATTTTGGACTTGTGTAAAATGTTGCGGGGGTGGTGGTGGAAGAAGACCTGGCCTTTTGACAATGGGCTCATATACCAAAGATCCACGGGTCATGATCCCCGGAGTCTCCGGGTCATGGAGACTCCCAGGTATGGTTGAAGGTAACTTTCTGTGATACAAGGGCAATGCTCTTCAAGGATACTAGTCTAGTGGGAAATTATGCTCGCATTGCCAATGACCCTGATCATAGTTGGGTGAAAGTAGATGGCATAATTTCCCTCATTTGAGTTTAGCTTTGTTTCATACAACACGCGGGTCATGAAACGTCATGATACGTCAACTTTACCATGACAAAAGGGAGTCCTTACAGAAGGTCCCCCCCCCAAACAAACAATAGCAAGTTTGGGCTTGTCTACGGGAATGCTTGCGTGATTTTTGTTTTTTGCCCGCAAGCCAGAAGCACATCCTCACCTGCAACCCATGCGCTGGTACTATTGTCAGCCATTCAGTTCTTAAATGAGCAAGGGACAAACTGTGTGGGTTTCCCGGAGTGGACATGGGACATTTAGGGCGTTTCTGGCCTTTTTGTGGGGCAAGTCGTGTCTCCGCATGTCCTTCCCAAATTTGGGCCATCCTTTTGAAAGTTAGGATTGCTTTCAATTGGTTGGGCAGCTGCAGATTGATGAGATAAGCGTGCTTTGGTTTCATTGAAGCCAGCAGTTTCATTCTTCCTTGACAGGAAGTTGGGAGACCAGCCCCAAATACTTAAAGGGGCATGGTACTTAGCACGTGCACTTCCCTGACGTACCGAAGCGATCGCCTCGGTCGCGCCTTTGGGGGCCCTGAGTGAGGTATCCTCATTTTTCTCCTCCCGCTCTTGCACGGCCTGCCGGTGGTGGTTTTGGACATCCGCCGCACGCTGGGCGCGGATGGCCGTGTCCGCATCACCACCTCCGGCGCCACGGCTTGCTTCAGCCGGCGACTGGGGCTGGGGTGCGCTCCATTCCGGGGTGCTAAACCCCCCCCCCCCCAACGGAATGAAAAAACACATGTTTTCTCCGTTTCCTGCCCAACATGAACCCAAAGCATATGCAGGTTTTCCGCTTCTTGCCCAACGTGACAAGGCAAAGGGGGTGGAGGACTGTTTACGACAAGATTTCAGCATTCAGTTCCCATCTCTTCCTCCAACATTTGACCTCAGCTTGTGCCAACACCCCAAAGCATCATGGCATTCCATGGGGGAGCCGGAATCCCATTCCCCTTGCCAGCTGCTGGTGCTAGTTTCCCTGGGGTGGGGTTTTGGTCCTCAGGAATTTGGTTTGCAGCTGGTGACTCGTTGTGAGCCATGGGATCGCGCCTTGCCACTCGTGATTCGGACTGGAGTTCCTGCATGGCCCTGCAGTCATGCAGAATGGGTTATGTTGGGGCATTCCGCATTCCTATTTTGGAGCCTGGCGTTCACGTCCTATGCTGATGGATTGGAGTGACCGTTGGCAATCGCAGCATTGCATCCAGGAAGACACTTTATCCTGCACATGGACAAAGCTCCGCGGGTACGATTCTGGGGCACAGGCCCGAACTGAGGTTTTGCGCTTCCTGCTGACAGTTTCGGGGTGTAGGTAGTGAAGGGCCAGCATGTTCTACCAGCCAGGTTTGCGTCAGGCTTTCCGGTTCAGAGGGTTGCATCAGATGCAAATCCCGCAAAACATGTGCGAAAACCCTCCTCACGTCCCAATTTTAGGGTCCCAGGCAACCGCGCCTTCGGCCTTCGGGGCGTCAGTGCCAGGGGTGCCACAACTGGATAAGCAGCGGTATGGCTTCAGAGCCGCTTGGAGAAGCTCGCTTGGACGTGGTTCGCTTCATGGATCGGAGGGGGGGATCTTCGCTTGGGCCCATTCTTTGTCATACCCTCGCGCAGGACGTGTACAGTGCCGTAGCGTTGTTTGTCATATCTTGCCGGGGTGGTGCCATACTTAAAGATTAGCAAGTTGTTAGTGAGTTCGCCTGGGTAAAGCCAACTGAGAAGACTTGAAACTGTAAGTGGGTTCTAACCATGGCTATTCCCCTTGCCAAGTGCCCTGCCCCTTTAGTCATTGGTTGCCGCGCCCGGCGAAATGGAAGCACGGGTCAACCAAGGAAAGCTGTGGTATAATTCCGCGAGACACAAGTTGTATACTATGCGTATGTTATAATACATATTGGTAGGTGCCCACAGGTGAAAAGACGTAGATGGCAGTCACGATTTTCCTGCTGGATGGCGCTTGGCTGCTCCCTCCGTGCGCTTCGGCCTGCGAGGCACGATGCCACACCTCCAGGGAGATCGAGCTACTTCACAGGGACTGAAATGGGGTGTAACATTTGGACGGCTTTCCGGTGGTGCGGCAGAGGGAGACAGCCCCGGGAAAGGTTGCCTTTCAGAGTGTCTGCTGATGGAGCTACCACCGCCATTGGCTCAACCCCCCCCCCCAACCGCTTTTGCCCATATTCACAATCCCAAGTACTGTCCAAAAAGCAGTGGTTGGGGAGTGCTGGAAGTGACATTTTTTTCGGCGGTTTTGGGGCCATGGGACACACATGCATTGGGGGGTAGTGTTTAACGGTTGTCCTTGGCGAGGCTTCTCCCCGAAATTGGGTGCATTCCCACCCTTGCACTCTGAGATCTTCCTTGGGCAAGTTGTCCTTGTCCGAGGTTCAGCCCATCCACGAATTGTTGGCAAGTTTGGGAATGGGCCAGTGGGCCTTGTGCGAATGAACCACGGGCACTTGGCCCACAGTGATTCCCTCACACGAGTTGTGACTCCACTGGAGCCACTTGACAAGGGGCGCATATAACAAAGGGCTATGCTGGGCCAAGGTTCTGGGACTGATGGGCCAAGGTTCTGGGACCTGACCCTCTCAAGGCCTTTGTGACAGCTTGAAGCGCCGGTAAAAAAAACCGTGCGGGGCTCGAGCCTCGCTAACCTTCGCGCGAGGATGGGGACGACTTCGTCACCGATCAAATGGCGTCCTCCACTGGCTGCATGCAGGCGAAAGATGGCCATCGGCTTCCGGTTCGGGGAGCCCCGAAGCCCAGCACGAAGCCAGTGAACTGGATGCTACGAAGAGAAGCTACATGGCCTTCCCCTGTATCATGTCACCCCTACCTGCCACCAAGTGCACTTGCTTCCTAAGCAACCAAGCAACCAAGCAACCAAGCAACCAAGCAACCAAGCAACCAAGCAACAAAGCAACTGACAGTGGTGGCGGCTGGGAGTCTGGCTTCTTGCCGATTTCCTTTGGTGTCCTGGTGCTCTCCGACTGCCGGGTTTGGTATTTGGTTCACTTAGGTCGACCCTGCTCGTACGTAAGATGGCAGCAGGATAAACATACTAATAACAAGCATAATGATAAGACCAATGATTGTCATCGTCATCATCATCGTCGTCGTCATCATCATCATCATCATCATGATCATGATCATGATCATATCATCATCATCATCATCATCGTCGTCATCATTGTTCATGATCATATCATCATCATCATCATCATCATCATCATCATCATCATCATCATCATCATCATCATCATCATCATCATCATCATCATCATCATCATCATCATGATCATCATGATCATGATCATGATCGTATCCTCATCATCGTCATCGTCGTCATCATCATCATGATCATGATCATGATCATGATCATATTATCATTTGTCGTTGTCGTCATCATCATCATGATCATGATCATATCATCATCAACATCATCATTCATTCCTGTCCATTCCGGTGGCGCAGTGATTTTCAAAGGAGGCGCGGGGCCAATCGTGTACTCGTGCGTGGGCACAAGGAAGCAAGTGGCTCCATGGGTTGAAGCCTCAGACGTCTCAAGAAACCCTGCCCAGATGCTTGCACCCACCCCCTGCAAATCAATATGGAACTTTAAAGAGCAGGCATCGCCGCAAAAAAGATGCCTCCACAAACGATTGATTTTTTACGTTCCTTGTCAACCTAAAAGCTATCAAACGGGTCATGGCCGGGGACACTGCAGTTTGTCTTTGCATCGCATCAAGCTTTTGGACTGTCTTTTGAGGCCCCGCACTTCAGACTGTTTTTGGAAGCCAGACGGGAAGACCTGGCGACCTACCAGACCAGTTGAATTTGCCCCATCCCCTCACTCGCTTGCCTGCACCCATTCGCGACGGGAGGTGTTGCCCCGCCACGCCTTTGCCTTCTCTGGGGTCAGCAAGATCCCTTTTGTGATGTGGCTGCTCTTTCCAGTGGTGCTCTACGTCACCCTCATGGCGCCTCCGGAATATATGTCAGATTGGCTTCCGAAATCAAAACGCAACCGACGGCCTGAAAACACGGATTAGGGTCTTTGGGTGGTGGGGTGATGTTGAAAGGGGATTTATTTGTAAAGCAGACCCCTCTCAAAGGAGCCATCGGGCCAGGCTGTGAGCCATCGGGCCAGGCTGTGGCCCAATGGGCTGCAGCAATCAGGTTTTATTTTTGTTGTCAACTTGCAGGGAGCATTTCCCGTTTCACAACCAGGCCGCGTTTTGACCCACTTCACTTCGCAAATGGTGGGTAGCGGATAAATACGCCCTCCCCATCAAAGAAATGAGTTCCCAGCACCTGGCATTGAGGACGCCGCCCGCAAAAGATGCATGTCAAATACCCGCGCAGTAAAAGCGCCTAAGACTTGGCAAAGAGCGGGGCTGTGGTGAAATTTAGAGCCGAATTGAGCCACAATCATGGGAGCAAGCCTCATCGACCCCTGGGCTCTTCGTGCATTCTGGCACATATGCATACAACGGAGTAGGGCCGGCTTATGTCGCCCTCAAATTTGCAGTCCTTGTGAGAAAAAGGCTGGTCGTGGTGCACTTTGGAGTCAGGTGGTCTTCTGGCCACGATACACCAAGCCTCTGGCCGCCGTGGGCTTGCACCTCTTCTTGGGCGCTGTCATTGCTGGCATATGGCACTGGCAGAGGCGAGCAAGCAAACCCAATCAAGAGAGAAGACTTTGAGGTGCTGGGCTGCTATGTGTTTCATGTTTTTGTTTCTTCTTCTTTTTCTGGGAATCTTGACCTTGTGCAAAGATCCATGCAAAGACTGGTGGGGTGGTTGAACCTCAGAGAGAAGGGAGAGAGAAATAGATAGAGACAAGGCCCACAAAGCAAACACCACTGATCACCCAATGGGTGCACCTAGCGGTGGGACGCTCAGCTGCACTTCCTGCCCTAGCTTCTGGAGACTGAGGGGGGAGGGTGGAACCTTCAGCCATCATCCTTGGTCATTCTTAACGACTAACAAACTAAAAGAATCAAGGGCAGACACAGGCTGTTGGCGGAAAGAAACGAAGTTCTGCTGGCACCGGAATTTGGCTTCAAGTGCTCCGAGCGGTGGTGGGTCCTTCTCGTGCTTGCGTCCTTCACATTGCATGGGCCTTGGGCTTTAGTCCAGGTGGGCAGGCGCCATGGGATTTTAGCGCCTAGATAAACCCAGAGCTGCATTCTTGTTTGAGCCATGTGCAGCAGAAGCTACTGTTCATGCCAGTACTGGTGGGCTTAAGCCCTTAGAGAGAACCAAGCGGTTGATGAACAAGCTGGCTTCAACTTGGCCAATGCTCGGGGGGATTTTCTCGGCAGGCTTCTCAAGAGGGCGTTCTTGCAAACTGCCAGCAGGTGCCCAGTGAAACGCTCGGCTGTTGGGAAAGGAGCTTACTTATTTGCTGAGCGCCACACATCCAGGGAGTCACCGTTCCCCACTCACCCCCCCTCCTCGTTCCTGGAAGGTAGCCAATGCCGTTTTTCGGTCGCAAGCCGCAGGTGGCGCTCCCTTTCCAACACCCAGCTGGTCCGTGATGTCCGAGCCTTCGAAGGGCTGATCCGCCGCGCCGTGGCGAAGACTTGGACACTGCCGCTGTGGCCCCCACCCAGCCCCGAGGTCGCTTTACCCGGCACGTTTTGGCCTTCCTCGCGTTCGCAGCTTTGGGTTGCAATCAGCTACGAAGCTGTCCTGAATTCGGGGGCCTTTGGTTCCTTTCCAGGGTCCCTCTCGGCTGGCTGTCTAACCCAACGTGACCATTCTGAGCACTTCGTCGCGGTTCGTGTCCTCGAGTCAGGACTTGCCACCCGATTGCCCCGTCTTCGTAGTTGCCATGCCACCTGCTTCCCTGGAAGCGGTGAGATGATGTTTGGAATCCTCCTTCCGCAGACCGCAGTCCCCCCTTGTTCACTTCCGCGATTGTTGGAATCAGGGTGCAGCCAAATGGATCATATGAGTTGTCAAAACGAAGCTAACCAGTCATGGGAGGACACGGAGGGTGGCCGAGAGAAATGCAGCGGGTGTTGCCCTCTGCCGCAGACAGAGGAGGTCGCTTTTGGGAATTGCTTGACTGTTTTCGAAAGATGGTTGAAGACTTACGATGCCGCCAGCAATGCCCGCTGGTGCCAAGGCAGGCATCTTCACCCACTTGCCCTGTTGGTTGGGAAACAACTCCCGGGTTCAAATCTATCTCAACCCCTTCTCCCCGCCCAACCTCCGCCCCCCCCTCCCCCCCTCCCTCCCTCCCGCCCTCCTCCCCCTACCTCTTCGCAAGCCACGCGGATCCACGCAGAGGCCGCTACCCCCGGCCTTTGAGCTGTCAGAAGGGCGCGAGCCGCGCCATCTCCGCGCAGCAGCTCCACGACTTCCTGGACTTCTTCCGGAACTATGTAGGCGATCCGAATCGAGGGCCTTTTTGGGGGGTTTGGGGGGTTTGGGGGGGTTGTTATGCCCGGATGTATCCGGATGTCTTGAGGCGCGGTTTTGCAAATATGTTTTTTTTGGAAGGAAGTGTTCTCGGCAGTCATCGGATGAAATGGGAAAGAGCTCTAGAACTTACTGTACGGAGCAGATCAGAGCTGCTCCGAGCCGCTAAATGATCAAACCATGGATCTCGAGGGTATTCTGTGCCTTCTCTTACACAGAGTTTTTTTTTCACACGTCAGGAACGCGGACCACCTACTACGAGCCTCGGCAGAACAGGCAGCCGGTGAATCATCTTGGAGCTTGTGCTGAGTTAACATATTTGTGGGAGCTCCCCATCGGCCGAGATGCAAAGGGCATGCTTTGGTAACACTCTAGGGGCCAACATGAGCTGTTTTTCTCTAAGGTGAGACGTTTCTTGCTGGTGCGATAGGCAGGGAATGAGACATGGAATGACCCCGATAAACCATCCATCTGGTGGTTTCCTTTAAGGGACCCCTGGGTTCATTCCCTCATTCCCGAGCACCAGCAAGGTTGGCAACTTCCCGAGGTGGTGCACAACATCATTCTGCCCCTTACAGAGCCCTACAAGCTATCCTATGCCGAGGCAGGACCCGGCTCTTGCCCCTGCCGGCCTTGTGGGAAGGGCATGAGGAGGAGGAGCCAGGGCCGAGCAGCTTCATTGGAGTTGATGTAGGTGCCCCCCCCTCCCCCTATCCTTCCCCACCTCTCTATATACTCACTCCAACTCGAATGTCTCCAGCTCCAAGGCAACCTCAGTGATTGACGAACAGTCTTGGGACCAAATGGGAACTGATCTGAGCCGAAGTCCTCAACAAAATCCGAAAAATAATGCCGGAAAGACATTTGTAGTTGGGTAGTGATTCCAGCTGGCTGCGTGGCATTAAGAAATTACTGGTCCCACCCTGCGGTCGACTTCCCCATTTTGCTCCGAGGCACAGCGGGGGCCCTTCTATGTCGTGTGACGGTTGGTTGACCAGTTTGCCCCCAGTAAGGGCGTTCCACTTCGTTTCAAACCAAGCTGAAAAGGGAGCCTCAGGTGGCCGGGCCTTCCACTTCGCCTTCGCGGTGGTTCGTGAGCCATTTCTGGGGCACGCCCTTTGCACACCTGGTCAGCACAGCTGCTCGGCCGCAACGCGATGGGCCCCTCAAAGAGCCTGGGACGCCACTACTCAGAAGGCGATTGTGAGGATTGTGGACCCGGGCCATGTTGGGCGGTGGGAGGCTGTCAGAAGAGTCGTATGAGGTTCAGTGTCTTGAAGAATTTGATCGGTCAGTTTGGGGTTTTACATCCGTTGCATCCGCAGTGTGGCTGTTCAAGCGTGAAAATGTGCGAGCAGCGCACTTGGACGGTTTGTTGTTTCCTTTTGGGCCCCAAACCGGTAACCCTTGAATCTATAGGTTATCAGCCGTAGGCCCCTAGCTCTAAGCAATGGACGGTTCCCTTGTGCCAGTTGATGGATCCAGCATGCCTGTGGATGCTGCCGGAGCTAGCTCCGGCAACGCCACCGGCGGCGGTGTGCGAATGTTCGCATCAAGCGCTAATGCGCAATACAACCGCACCCTGATGAATTCCCTTCAACTGTACAATACCGCAATCTTTGCTTTTGGGAATGATGCAGCCATTAGGTCTGAAGCCGAAGCCCTGCATCAAGCAGCTGTTACGCATTTGCAAGCGGAAAACCGTGAGGAGCTCCGTGCCGCACAGAATCAGCTGCATGCACACTACGCTGAATGTGTGCAAGCCCAGTCGCATAGGATTCGTGAATACGAACAGCGAGTGAGCGATGAGTTCATGCAAGAAGTGAACTTCGCTGAAGCTAGGATAAGCCAAGTGTGTGAGGAAAATGCCCAAGCATTGCATGAAGCGGAAATGGGACGCAAAACAACTGAGTTTAGGCAAGCCATCGAATCCACCCTGGCTGAAGCCCAGCAGCTCCTCCATGAGCAAGCTGCCAAGCATGCCGATGACACAGCCCGTGTCGAGGCTACACACGCCAGAACGGTTGACATGATGGCACACCAAAACGGGCTTCTGCAGGACGAGCTTGATGAGCTGAAGAAGTATCAGAAGCAACACGACCTCCGCGAGGATGGATCGAAGCCCAAAGGGGTAGGTGATACCCGAGAGGATTCACCAGAGTTGATGACCGACGACATGAAGTCAGCTCGGTCCCAAAGGTCAATGTTGGACCCGTTGACCCATCCGTTTCAATATGCAAAGGAAAAGTTGAGGTCGCTTGTTACCTATGACGGTTACGGGGATGAATATACCCCTAGCGTGATTCCAACTGCCGAATGCGAAGCACTGCCCGCAGATGCTCGCGATCCGCAAGGACCAGCTGAAAAGCCATCAGGTAGCAGCCGATCCCCGGTGAAAACAAGTGCACCGGTCCCACCCCTGCAATTCTCTCAGGGGCCAATGTCAACTGACCGCAAGCAGGGTGGTAAGCCTCCCGGCGGTCCGCCACCTGATGATGATGGCGATGGCGATGGTGATGAAGACGAAGGTGATGGCCTTGGGCCTAACCTCGGCCAAGAAGCATTCGCCAAAATGTTGATGAAGTTAGTAAAAGGCCACACGAACGATGAAAAGCCCAGAACCCGCGAAAGCGAGACGTTGCGATTCAAGGAGATGCCAACTCCTGAAACGTACCGTGAATGGAAAACATCGGTTCGTGAGGATGTCCGCGCCGCATCTGACCGTCCAGACGAGGCTTGGCCTTGGATCATGGAAGTCTGGTCTGATCGCGAGGACAAGAAGAAGCTGTTGGAGGAGCTCGGCGAACCGGGAAAATTCGTGACCCTAGACACGAAGATTCTCGCAGCGCTCACGCGTTCAGCGAAAGGCGATCTGGCTCAGCGAATCCTAACAGCAAAGGAAGAATGTGCCAAGGAGGGAAAGGCCATGAGAGGAAGGCAGGTCTTGTTTATGTTTGACCAATATTTCAAGACCAGTGAAGAAGCCGGAAACCTCTACTCCTTGGAGGACCTGTTGCGTGTCTCGCGACACGGCGAAGGAATCATCGATCTCAAGCGTTTCCTGAATGCTTGGGATTCCGTGATCGCCGGCATGAAAAAGCCGCCGGAAGAAAAGGTGTTGAAAGACATCTTGCTTCGCCAAGTGAGAAGCTGCCATCTGTTGCGGTACGACATCGACACATATGATCGTTGCCGTGATGATGATCCCAATAAATCGTACGATTTCCTAATGCGTTGCATGAGGGATCTAATCGAGAGGGATAGGCTTCGCGAGAACCGAGAGCGCGTGTCCAAGGTCAATGCCAGTAAAGCCCCGACGCCCAAGGCTGGTGCTGCCGCTCCTGAAAAGAGGGACCCCAAGAAAAAGAGCGCACCTAAGCCGAAGGACGCCGAGGAGAAGTACTGTTTTGACTTCCAGAAGGGCTCGTGCACGAGGGGGGCAAACTGCCCTTACGCGCACCGCAAGGAGCCGCGAGGACGCTCCGCGACCCGCGGCAGGCCAAGTTCCCCCAAAGGCGGTAAAGGAGAGAAAGCACCGTGTTCTTTCTTTGCCCAAGGGAAGTGCACGAGAGGTGATAAATGCAAGTTTAGCCATGCCTCCACGGGCGGCAAATCTGCCGCCGCGGCATCGAGCAGCGAGGCCAATGCAAATCCTGCGGCTAAGAAGCGTGCAAACTCACCTAAGCCTAAGCCCAAGGCCAAAGCCGCTGCAGTCTGCACCAGGTACGCCATGTTCGCAAAGCCGATCAACCCAATTGGAGTGTCATTCGACACCAATGCTCATGTTCATGAAATCCCCGCCGAAGGCGATGGTTTCAAGCTTGAGTATGAGGAACGTCAGTACAATAGGATGTTTCCAAGTGCCAAGGACTGCCCCAGGCCGACCAAAGGGACTAACAAGGCAGCGCGCAAGGCCGCGAATCAGTTGAATGCCGTAGTCAAAGCCATGGAGAATGGAGCCCAGCCCGCTTGCGGTTTCATGTGCGATGTGGAATCTGATTCCATCTCAAGCCTATCGTGTGATGAGTGCCTGAGAGTTGCCATGCCGCCTCACGATGTTCGCAAGGATGTCGAAGCGCCAAGGGCAGCCACCCCTGCCCCAAAGGGAAAGGATGTGTGGCTCATTGATTCCGGTAGTGAGCAGGACCTCATCAGCAAGGCTGCACTGAGGAATGCGTCCAAGGCAATCCGAAAACAGGCCCCGCAGCCTATTCGCCTTGTGACTGCAAACGGAAACATCACTGCTTCCGAGATCGCCGACATCAATGTCGATGCATTGTGCGAGCCTGCTCGGGTGTGAAGTGTCTGGATCAAGGATATTCCTTTCATTGGGAATCCGGGAAGGCACCAACCATGGTTCGCCCTGACGGTGCTCTGATCCAGCTCAAGGTTGACGGTCATGTGCCATACATGGACTCTAGTTGTGAAGCTGAGCCATCGTTGAGTGCAGTAGCAGCATCAAAGCCAGCGCCTGCGCCAGTTCATGACGAAGGCATCGACGAAGGTGATGATCCCGACGACGAAGTTGAGCGGTTTGTGAGATCCCGCAAAGAGCAAGATCTGGTTGCCGAAGCAGGTACCAAAGAGCACTTGTTTGCACACTATCCGAAGAATCCCTTTTGCCGCACTTGCCAACGTGCCAAGATGCTTGCCCCATATGCAAGATCGAAAGGCGGGCAGGGAAGGCTCGAGACGAAAGCGTTTGGAGATCACATCATTGCTGATCATGTGATTCTCAAGGCCAACATCGAGCAAGGCATAAAAGGTGAATGGTGTGCTCTTGTGATCAAGGACGTGCATACGCAGTTCAGGTACGTTTACCCGTCGACCAGCAAAAGCACGGAGCAATCCGTTGCAGGGATCCAGCATTTCATTTCCGGTAGGGATGAGGTTGAGGTTCTCTACACTGATAACTCCCGGGAATTGAAAGCCGCAATAGAGCAGTTGGGGTACCGTCATCAGACCTCCATTGAATATGTTGATTCTTCCAAATCTTTCGTGGAAAGGGAAATCAGACATCTGTTGGAGGGAGCACGTGCGAACCTTGTCCAGTCAGGGTTCCCACTGTCGATGTGGCCATTTGCCATCCAGCACAATGCAGTTGCGACCAACATCCTGCCACAGTTGAATGGAAATGATTCGCCATGGTACCTCAGGTTTAACAAGACCTTTGATGAAGCTGAGATACCTTTCGGAGCAAAGATACTGTTCTGGAACAACCCTGCACGAGCTGACAATCAGGCAGGCAAGACTTCGCCAACATCGAATGAAGGCGTGTTTCTCGGGTACCATATTCAGCCCGGGTTCGCATGGAAGGGTGAGTTCCTCGTTGCAAAACTAGAAGGGCTCGATTACCATATCGAACATGCGTCCCTCACGGTACAGCGAACAAAGCGCATTGAGCTTCCGACTGATGAGTTCATCTTCCCGATGAGGTTGTTGAAAGACCCTGCATCTCATCCACCTGTTGCCAGTGCTAGGATACGAGATGATCCTGTGCCGTTGGAACGTGGGCAAGCCCACATCGAGGAACCCGCCGCATCGGAGAAATCCGAAGCGAAGACCAAGCCTGTCGTGCCCGACAAAGGCGGCGCATTCGACCCGAGCATAATGCCTGATGGGTCACCAGTACCTGATGGCTATGTGTGGGATGGGGTTCGGCTCGTCCGTAGGAAGGCCGGATCCAAAAGGCCTCCCGATATCCCGTCTGACATGTGGGTCATGCTCGGCAGCCAGGACCGAAAGGCCCTAACCCAGCAGTACGAAGATCAGCTCCGTGCAGATGCCAAGAAGGCAGTGCTTGAGACAGCAGTCTCTTCGGAGGCCAGATCCGAGCACCCCGAAGCCGCATCGAGTGCAAAGCCGACCAGCGCCGCCCGCGAGGGCGAGCCGACATTGCCTGTGATCCGGCACGCGCCTGCGATGTCCGTTCTTCCGGAACGTGACAAGTCATCGAAGGAGCCGCATCGCCCGCAATTGCGTGAGTTGGTCAAAGAGCGAATCAAGAAGGTTGAATTTGATGTTGCTCTTGAACTGTTCAGTGCAGTCGTTGCAAGGCTTGTGCCAAAAGCCGAAGTAGCCAATACGCCAAAGGCCCAAGCTGCTCTTGACAAGGAATGGGAAAACCTTCGAAAGAAAGGCACTTGGGACGAGTTCAGAGTAAACGAGTGTAGGCGCGTCATCAGAGAAGCCCAGAACAAAGGGGAA